TAAGACACTGTTCTAAGCCTTGGAAATATAGCATTGAATGAATCAAATGAAAATCACGTCCTAACTTACATTCTTTTCTTTTTTTTTTTTTTTTTCCTAACTTACGTTCTAGAAGGGGGAGAGTTAATGAACAGATCCATTACAAAATATACTGTCAGATGATAATGTTTTATGGGGAAAACTAAAGCAGGAAATGGGGTTCAATGTAGCAGGGGAGGCAGGCAGAGGGTGGGTTGATCTTTTCAAGCTTGGTTACTGGCAAGACAATATTGAAAAGGAAACCAGAAGTAGGCAGGGGAGCAAGATATGCAGGTGTCTAAAGGAAAAGAATCCAGAACAGAATAGCAACTGCAAAGACCCTTGGGTTGATAACATGCTACTTGGGTAGAAGGGACAGTTGGGAGACCAGTATGCCTGGGACTGAGTCACCAGGGGGAAGGTAGAAGAAGAGAGGTGTAGGAAGGTCAGAGGGCTATTATGAGGACATGTCTCTGGCTCTCAGATAATAGCCATGTGAGGGTTCTGGGTAGGAAAAAGACATAATCTGACCAGCAGGATCAGCTCAGCTCCTGTATTAAGGCTAGTCTCAAGAGGACAAGGGTGAAGCAAGGAGACTTGTTATAAGGCTATTGCATGAATTTGACATAATTTTCCAGTGTACTTATATGAAAAAAACCTAAGTGAATCCCACCACTGTGTACATCCACAAGAATGACATCCTAATTAGAATAAGATATAAATATGCATGTATAATTTTATCAAAATGAATTCTACTATCATGTATAACTAAAAAGAATCAATTTTTAAAATGGGGGGAAAGGCTATTGTAGTATTCCAGGTGGGAGACTTGTGGATCCAAACAGCGTGGGAAGGAGATGTGAGACACAGTTAGCCATATGGGTGTACCTGCAACTCATCATTACCAATCAGTGAGCCCTCACTGTCAATAAGCTCCATTGCAAATATTCCACCTGGACTAGTTCTGCCTCACTTGTACTTCCTTCTAGTTCCCCAGTTACTATCCCTTTTAAAAACCACATTAGAAGCTACAATTCATTGATTCTATCATCTTTTTATTGTCCCTCCTGGCTTCACTTCCTCCTTCATTCAGCTTAGATTCCATAGTCCTGTTTAAATTCCTTGCATAGACTCCTAGTTCCTGTTGTCTTTTTTGATGGTGTTGACCTCATCCAGCCAAACCACAAATCTCATTAGTTACAACTTTCTGTCTCCTGCATACCTGCACCCAGACAACTGAATGTCACTGGAGAGAATCCTACAAACATGCTCACTGTTCTTACTGTGACCATACAGAAAGGAGACCCTTGAGGCTTCTTGACACTCCTACTATATTCCCCAAGCCCTTCTCTTTCCTTATCTGACTGCATCATACCTTTGCTTCATTAAATATCCAGTGCCTCCTCTTTCATCCTCATTATTAGCCTCCTATTTTGCCAAGAAAATAAACGTAACCAGAAAATGTCTCCTCTGTGTTCCCACTGTCACAGTTAGCCCCTGCCCCTGCAAATCTCTGCTGTCTCTGGGGTGCATTTTCTAAGGCCAAGCCTTCCACTTAGTGCTGGACCATTCCACACTCCCTGACAGCATTCCAGTAATTGTTCCTGTTCTCTCAAAATCAAGCCTGACATTTCCTATATTTAAAAACAAAAGCTCCCTTTTGCCCCTCTCCTTGTCTAGCTAGCCTAAAAATTAAAAGTGTTCCTGCAAGTGAACGCTTGAATCTAGGAAAACCAAATTTGGGGGGCAAAGTAGGACTGGTGAAAGTATCAGTCCTGCCCAGTATCAATGAAATCCGAAATCCAGTGCAAAAATTTTTGCAGAGTTTCCAGTAAACTCGGACTATTCTGCAAGCTATTCCTTGGCTATCCCCAAAGCAGTGGTCCTCAAGAGTTTCCTGTACTCACACTCACTGGTTTTATCTCCTCTCCTCCCATTCTTACACAAACTCACTACACTTTTCTTCCCTCACCACCTGGAATTGCTGCTATCAAGCTTATCAGTTATCAAACAAAATGACACTTCCCAGGCTTCATTCCATTTGCTTATCAGCAGCATTTGATGCCCATGGTCCTGCCCTCCACCTTGAAATTCTTTCTTCACTTGGCTTCCAGAAGTTCCATTGCACTATTTTGTGTCTGCATGCCTACCCAGCTTTCTCACTCTTCTTTGACAATGGTTTTTATCTTCTTTATCTCTTTTGGATTCCATGGAGCTCTTTTCTTGGTCTAAACTCACTTTTTGATGATCTCACTGAAGTTCATGATTTTAAATGTCAGCCATACTGTGACATCAAAAAACAAAATTATAGCAGATTTTATTTAGAAATCTTGATTAGCTTTATTTGTGATTCTAGACACAGGAAATACTTTTCCTAGACTTGGGAAGTACTTATTCTTTATAAAGTTGAATAAATGCAAAGAGATTGGTTTTATCAACAGAACAGGGGTGAGGAAAACAGGGATGAAGAACAAAAAGTGGACTGGTCATTTAAAGTTACTCTCCCTGTAACACAGGAGCAGGGAAATAGACAACAGAAAAACAACTGACTGGTTGACATGAGGTTACTTCATATTACTCAGAAAAGATTAAAATAGAACTAAAAAGCAAAAAATAAAATAAAGAGAACTTCATTGTCACACAAATTGAAATTGGCCTGTTGGAGAATTTGGCTCTTACCTTTCTCTTGAATTCTTGGAAGTTCAAATGATAATTTAGTTTCAGTTTGATGCCATGGAGCTTTAGCATGACTGACTCCATGTTGAGTTTTAGGCTGGTCTCTTGGTGCCTAGTGTGGAGGCTTAGACCATGGTTTCCTATAACTGTTATCACTGACAACCCTAAATATATAATCAAGCCCTTACCTCTCCCTAGAACTTTTGACAAACCTATCCAACAGTGTGATCCATGTCACCTTTATAGGGTGACATTGAAAGTTTCTAGGTATCCAGACCCAAATCCTGACTTTCTGCCCCTAAATTTGCTTTCTTTGTATTTTCTCTTAGTAAATGACATTTCTAAACTTAATTGCTCATGTCAGTAATATTAGAGTCAGCCTGTGATAGATTTCCAGCACCATAACAAAATATCTGATATAAATATCTTAAAAATTGGAAAGATTTATTTTGGCTTGTAGTTTCAGAAGTTTCAGTCCAAGGCCAAGTCTTGGCCTTGTTGCTCTGGATGCCTGTGGTGAGGCTGAGCATGATGGCGGAAGCCATGGTGGAGCAAAACTATTTGCATCGTAGGAAGGGGCAGGGTCCCAAGATTCCCCTCAAGGGCACACTCCCAGCAGCCTGACTTCCTCCAGGTAGGCCCCCGACTCCTAAAGGTTCTGCCACCTCCCAAGAGCACCATCAGCTGGAGACCAAGCCTTCATACAGGAGCTTTTGGGGGACATTTCAGATTTAAACCATAATATATTCTTAATTCTTCTTGTGCCCTAGATTCAATATTTAAATAAATCATGCCAGTTTTACGTTGATGAACTGTCCACTTTTTGCCACTTGCTAATGTGCCTGAATGGTGGCAATAATTTTATCCATTGAAACTCATTTAGATTTTTCGTAATACCTATAAGTCACAACAAATTCCATGACTATGGTTTCTAATAAAATTTTATATAATTCCCATTTAGTTGAATATAAAATATAAGTGAAAATCAGGAAATTATTTTCTTGAATGATTTACAAATGTTCCTGAAAGTCAATTCTAAAATAATCATTTCAAAAATTATTTGTTCTAGAGCGGCATCAATGGAATGAATATTTAGCTCACCAAATTATCACATCCAAGGAAGATACTCATTTGGTTTTATTGGTCCTAGATTATTATTTCAAATGTATCTCCATTCTGTCTAGGTAATATTTGTATGAATATCTCATAAATAATGAAGAACTTGTTTATTGCTCTATAATGTTGATAAAATACAGAATCTGGAGCCATATTGTTTGAGTTTAATACTGGCTCTACTGATTTCTAGTTATATTATTATAGAAAAGTTTCACATTTTCTATGAGTTAGTGATAATGATAGTATGTACCCCAGGATTTCTTAGTAGGATTAAGTGAGATCATATACTTAAAATGCTTAGGACACAGAAAAGACACGTGTACTATGCTAGTAGTAAAAGAATTATATAGCAGAATAGCACTAGAAATCCTTGGGGAACTTGAGGAATAGAACATTTGAAAGGTTAAAGACATTGCAAGGTCTCAGGAATTGTTCAAGACAACCATAAAAGAGACTTCTAAAGGCAATAGGTACTAATTATCTACAAAGTAAGAGAACAAGCCAGCAAATATCTTAAACGTTTAAATAAGAGAGAAAGATTACTTCTACAGCAGTAGTGAAAATCAGGAAATGATTTTCTTGAATGATTTACAGTAGTAGCTTGAAATAATTTAAGATGAGTTTTTTGTTTTTTTAAATGCCCAGTTTCAATTACAGTAAAATAGAAATCTATACCCATGAAGTGTCAATTTTGACAGACTTAAGATGATAAAGCAAAGAACTTCAGTAAAAACTACTGATGGGAAACTTTGATTAGATGCCTTAAGAGAAATCCTCTGAAATACACAGGACTACTTATGCCCACCAGGAAGCTACCCTTTATATTATTTCCACTACCCTCTGATCTATTGCACTGTTGATCTGGCAGTTTGATCTGTGAATGTAGTTTAAATTTATTACAGGGAATATTATTTACATCTGTATCATATCACTGTGGACATTTCTTTTTCCTGGCACAATCATATACTTATTGAAAACATAAATTTAATTAACAAATGTTGACAGCTGATCCTTAGTGACTTGATTATTCATGCCTTTCAAATATAGACCTACTTTCTTGAAATATAACTAGTTGCCATTTACCCCAGGACTGTGAAGTTGTATCTACAAATGGACAAAGGAATTTTGAAGTGTGAACCAGGAAAGGGGAAATGAAAATATCTCAAACCTTTATCCTTTTCCCTCTCTAGTTGGCCCGCCACAACAAACTGTTACAGCAGATGCTCAAACCGGGATCAGATCCAGATGAAGGAGATGAAGCCTTAAAATATTATGCCAACCACACCGCCCAGATCGAGGTAACCATCTACTATTTCTTGAAAGGGACCAACTGTGAAAAAAAAATGTTTACTTCCTATTTGAGACCATTTTCATGTATTTTCCTAGAGCAATGAAGCAGCATTGAGTGATTTAAACTGAAAAGTATATACTAAAAGAGGATCTATAAGAAATGGAGGTGCATATCTTTCAAAGTTATCTTTTTTCTTCCTTTACCAGAACTATGTGTAAATTGTTTTCTAAAATTAATAGAGTTATTTTATTTTTGTTGTTTGATTGTAGAAACAATCATTGCAGAGCAGTGATATTTTAGAGACAGGATAAATATTATAGAAGTCATGATTCTAGAAAATGTTACATTTTAAAACTGTGGAAGGCTTAATGCAAAAGAGATCTCTGTGTGTCTTAGGAAAATAGAAGTGTAGAAGATATAGAAGGTACTAATAAAGTTTTCATATGACTGTTAACTTGCAAGGTTCAACAATTTCCATTTTCAGTGTGCATCAATTGACCCCTTGCCACTCCTCCCCTCAGATTAGATATTATTTAATTTTATTTAATGGCCAATGGGAGTTCAGGAGGTGTGAGTCAAAATGCATTTATCATTATATATTGGGAGACCCATATGGCTGTCATTTACTAGCTATGGTATCATTTTGATACTAGTTGGCAGAACTAATCAGGCAGAAGTGAGCAGAGTAGTTGATGCTTGTCAGTCCTAATTTTTACACTCATATGTGCATTCATTTTGGCAGATATTTTTGATTCTTTAGCAGAATGCAGGATGGGCATCACTGCTCTCAGGATATATAATTGCCATACCTTATTGTTTACTATTGCCAAACCTTTGGAATAATGAGCATTATTACTTTGTGTGGCAAAATCAGTTCCTTGCTCACATTTGTAAGCATTAACAGTACCACAACTTTGGTGTCAAACTTGACCTAGAGCAGCCCAGAAGCTGGACCTGGAGCCAAAATATTGCTCACTACATCTGGTGCTTAGGAACTGGGAGTCAGGAGGCTGAAGGAATTAATACAAATAGATCATCAAGTCATGAAGGTCCTGAGGACGGTCTCAGAAACCAAAGTACCGAGCAAGGAGATTAGAAGAGATCAGGGAATAGCAGGCAGAGTGGGCAGATGACAGAGGGGGTTGTTTATACCTATGAGAGATGAGAGCTACTGTTGGAGGTGGTTTTATTGATTCCCAGCAGTGAGGAGAGAGCTATAAATTCATTCCGTTAATGTTTACTGAGCACTCACTACCAATTCACACATATGGAAGATAATTCTGTGCAGTAAGTATATAAACAAGGCTCAAGGAAATGCAGAGGAAACAGCAATTAAATGTGCCTGAAATTTTTCAGGATAGATTTCATAAAAAAGGCTGCCATCAAGAATAGATTAAAGACTGGATACAAGTTTCTCTTTACTAATGATCAGGAAGAGGACTTCAAATAGAAAAAGGGAATGAAGAAAAAATGTGAAAGAGCACAGGGAGGGGATGTTCTTACAAAAAGAGCACTCTGGTTGCTGTTTGGAGAAAGATTTAGAAAGAGAAGGCATTAGAGAAGACAGGTGAATCAGACAAGATGATATGATAATAGGAAAGGTGAGAGATGGTAGTATTGAAGATGGTTGGATTAGAGAATATATGTACATGCAAATATATATATAGATATATAGATAAATACACAAACACACACACACACACACACACACATCTCCAAACTTTGGGTTTCAAACTATATGCACACACACATTTGCACACACATAGGTATAGTTATATGCAGAGAAATATATAGACATCCTGACAGGGATTAATTTTGGATTGTACATTGTATCAGTCAGCTTTGGTGTTATTATAAAAAAAAAAAGTACCTAGATAATTAACTACTAAAAAGAAAAGGTTTATTTTGTCTTATGATTTTCGAGGCTCCAGTTCATGTTTGGGTGGACCCATTGCTTTTGGGCCTGTAGCGGGTGGTACATCATGGCAGGGGCACACAGTAGAGCAAAACCACTCATCATCCAGAAAGCAAAAGGAGAAGAGGACAAGAACAACACCTTCTGTTTCTTCAAAGGCATGATTCCTTAGGTCTAAGGACCTCTTGCTAGTCCCAAACTCCCCAAAGTTTCAGTACCTTGAATGGCTTTTAACACATGAACCTTTTGTTCCAAACTATAGCGCATGTGTAAAATTAGTAAAATGGTGTGGAAAAGGATGCCCCCTGGGCTGTAGGATGAATAAACAGTTGGTGTCATGTATGGAAATCCTGGGAGAGAATGAATTCTTGCTGTTAAAAGGTAGATTATTTGTTCATTCTTAGGTAAACTGAATTTGAGGTGAGGGTGAAACACCCATGAAATTCAACATAGAAGTCCAGGTTTCAAAGGAGGGGTCTGGGTTGATGGTATAAATTCTTCACATTGACCAGTTCTCATGCTCATTCAAAAATCAGCTTAAATGACCTTCTCAGAAGGGGCTCCCCTTCTTCCTCCAGGCATTCACTAATTCCACCCCCGCCCCCAGGTTTCCACTGCAGTTTCCATAGCACTTTAGTCCTTCTGTTAGTTCAATGCAGATCACACTGGAGTATTGTTGGCTTTATGTATATTTCACTTGTTTTCAGTTTGAGACAGGGACTGGTCTCAATTATCTTTGTATTTCCAAAACTAAATATTGTATCCAGAGCGTAACTATAATAATTGATATTATTGAGGATAATAATTTATCTGTAAATTATAGACTTAATGACCCTAGGAAATAGAAAGTATCTTATGTCTATGTGTCTGTCTAGGAAGGAATTGCCCTGTAGTGATGTTGCTTCTACTTTAAATTCTTTGTGTAACAGAGATCTCAGTTCTTCTGAAGGAGATTGCTTTAATTTGGAACAACCCTAATAATCAGAAAGGTTTTTCTTAAACAAAGAATTTACATTAGCTCATTATAAAGTTTACCCTCTGTTGAGAATATTTCCTCCACTCTCAACATAGTAGCTTGGTGGTAACATTTGAAGAGCCGTCATGATTTCTAAACCTCAAGTTCTTATAGATAGGTGCTCACATTGTTTTCAACTTTGATTTCCCCAAAGCTCCTCACCTAATGACTGAATAAGCATTTGTTGAATGATTTGTGGGAAAAAATCAACCATATTTGGCTCTTTGCAGTTAAGTTATTCCCATTTACTTCAGTAATACCTCCAGTTTGTCAGTGCCCTTTGTAAAATGTGACAACCAGAATTAAACATGACATTTCATAAAGGGACTGAATAGCTTGTCTTATAATAATCAAGATTCCATTTCTTTATTGCACCCTGAGATTTTTTTAGTATTTGACACTTTTTAATCAAGTAAACCTTTTTTAAAAATTTTTCAGATGGTTGTTTACCATACCGTATATGTCCAATTATTTTATATAATTGATTTTTAGTCTATGTGCAGGAAGTTTTATTTACCACTACTAAATTTCATCTTGTTTGCTTTATGTCAGTATTCTAGCTTGTAGTTTGATGAGACCACATATTGTTTAGGATATCTTCAATTATAAGTTTAACAGAAGACCAACTCACAGTTATTCAAACAACAAAAACACGTTATCATCTGATGGGTGGTCTGGAGGTGTAAGCACTCCTACAACTGATTCAAGCATGTAGGCTTTTCATGCTTCTGCTAGGTTTCTTCTTTCACCTTGCCTCAAGGCTGCAGAGTTTCAAGGTCCACACCTTTATACCACCCTTTATTCTAAGCAAAAAGAAAGAGGGTGCAGGGTATTAAAAAAAAAAAAAAAACAAAGCTTGTGTTTTCTGTGTTTGGTTTGGGGCCATTATTATTTTGTCCCAGGTGACTCTCTGCCTTTATTAGGAAGTAAAATCTTCTAGAAACCCCCACCACCACCCCCATGCCCCTAGAGATTTCTTCTTATGCCTCATTTTCCAGAGTTAGGTCATATGCCCACTCCCAAACTAGTCAATGGCAAAGGGAAATAAAATTACTCTTCTGTATTTAGACCAATCCTTATTAATTCCTAAGGACTTGAAATGAACCTTGAAGTTTAAGCTCCATAAATTCTTTGTTACATAGTAAATCCTTGTGAAAATATTCAGCCTCGTTTTTGGTCTAAAGATAAATGGTCACAAATACCAATTAGGGATGTCCAAAATAATGACTATACATGTGTGGGCACATGCTTAAAAATGGTGTTGTGCCTACAAAAATAGGTTTTGCCATGTATAGGAGAACACTTTAATAATATGAAACACCTTTCCCTGTAGAACTGAGGATGCACTTGAATGTCACTTGTTACCCAAGAGCCCTGTCCAGGAAGAACAGACCAGGAACAAGACACAAATATGCTAAGGGCTGGGTTTGAGGCGATAGCCAGTCACCTGCTAATTAAGACAGTCTTCATTCGCTGGTGTACTTCATGAAAATAAAAATAGATGGCAAAACTTTAATGCTAACTCAGAATGAATGATTAATTTTTTCTTATTTGTAATATAGTATGCTACTATGTCAATTAATTGCTCTTATTTTATTTAAAGATAAAATGCAAAATAAAGTACAGTAAAGGACTATTTTAGGGATTTTAAGCCAGCACATTTTTTTCATACTGGATTCATAAAATATTAGTAAACAGACTTATGCTGAAAATTAAATAATAGTCTAAGACTCGGGTATGCAAAAGGCTAAAATCAAATGCAAATTATTGTTTTCAGATTGTTCGGCATGACAGGACCATGGAGCAAATCGTTTTTCCTGTCCCCAATATTTGTGAGTTCCTCACTCGTGAATCCAAGTGTCGTGTGTTCAATACAACTGAGAGGGATGAACAAGGAAGCAAAGTGAATGACTTCTTCCAGCAAACAGAAGATCTCTACAATGAGATGAAGTGGCAAAAGAAAATCAGGAGTAAGTACAAAAACCTGAGAGGGCTAGTTCTGTGCATAGCAGTAGATAAGTTGGTACTTTGGGGACACATGATGCCAATTCACTTAAATAGTTTTTAAATTTCTTTCCAGTCTGATGTCAATGAAGCCACTTACAGACTTAAGAGTGTAAGCCTAGTCTAGAAGTGGAGACGGTACCTGTGACTGCATTGAATGCAGAAAGGCCTGATTACACATTGCCTGTCAGTGATGATCCTATTTTTTAAATACATGTTATGAAATGCAAGGTTGCAGCTATAAGTTTCAACCACTGGGCAGCTGCAGGTTTGAAGTCCATGAATAGGCACCACTGGCCTCTGATAGTCAGAGAACAGGGTGGGGGGATGTCAGCACCAGAGGACTCCTCATGCTCTTCTCTATTGTCCTGGGATTGAATGGACTGTCCGGTGTTTTTCTGAGAGTCATCCTTTCTTTTAACATAGGTTCCCTTTCCATATCAAATAAGCCAAACCTTTCATGACACCTGTATTCAGAGAGAGCAAGTGTTATAACTTTACAGTTAAAAATCATTCTCACTACTTATATCTCAAACCTCCAATCTATTTGGAAACACTGAGTTTTAATATTTAAATTTTTTTTAACTTTAAATAAATTTTAATTTATTTTCCCAGATAAGGGATATCATGAATTTTGACAAAAATTGGTAGGGGGAAGCTCTTGATTAGGTTTTTTGGTGTTTTTTTTTTTTTTGTCTTTAGGAGAGGTTTCCCAGATAAGCTGGCCTCTGTTCATCCTTCTAGTTTTCTAGGAACCTTAGTGAGTATGATTTATGAACTTGAATTTAGCTTGAGAACCACATCTTTGGATATAGGATTGTGGCATGCATTTTTAGACATCCTAGTAGCACATATGAAAGAAGTCAAGAAAGAAATTATTCTCCCTTAGCATTTTACCACATAGAACCCTAAGGAATAAAGTGACATTTTTGAGTGTCCAAAATATATGTAAGGACTCAGTAGTTTTATTTGAGACATTTGAAAACCATGCATTTTCTCCTGACCAAAAAGCAAATTGAATAGTGAGCTGCCCTGGAGTCTGTGCTCTTTATTTACATAAATATCTTGTTATGTCTGAACAAAATCTGAAAATTATTTCCAAAGTACATTTCACTTTAAAATTTGGAAACAGCCATTTCCATCATTTGTGAACTAGGAGTCCTCATTTTTAAAAAGCAGAATATTAGTCAATAAAATGCCATGGCTAGCGATAGCTTTTTCTAGCATGAAATATTCCATCCCAAGGGAAGAAAAACAACATGTACTGAACAGAAGAATAGTTTGTAAGTAAACAGCAGGCGCTAGATGGGGATTCACAGGGTATATCTGAAAAGTTTCTAACTTCTACTTGAAAATCAATAGGCCTCCCCCATAATTAACTCCAGTATTTTAATCCTGGTGTTAAGATATTAAAAGTTAGAGAACAAAGGGTGGTGGTGCCTAGGGCAAATTGGGCTGCTGGTCAACCTTGAATGCATTAAATGTCTGTTCAGTTATTTAAAAGAGGTATAAAGAATAAATGGGATGATATCAAACTAAACAGCTTCTTCGCAGCAAAGGAAATCATCAAGAGCATAAAGAGAGAACCTACAGAATGGGAGAAAATCTTTGCCACCCACACATAAGATAAGACATTAATTTCCAGAATATTTGAAGAACTCAAAAGCTTAACCAAAAATAAAAATAAAAATAAAACCCCAAATAACCCAATCAATAAACAGGATTGCAAATTAGTGCAACCACTCTGGAAAGCAGTATGGGAGACTCCTCAAAAAAACTAGGAATGGAACCACTGTTTGACCCAGTTATCCCACTCCTTGATATACATCCAAAGGAAAGGAAATCAGCATACTTCAGTGACACAGCCACACTGATGTTTATAGCAGCACAGTTCACATTAGCTAAGCTATGGAACCAACCTAGCTACCCATCAACAGATGAATGGATAAAGAAACTGTGGTATATATACACAATGGAATATAACTCAGCCATAAAAAAAGAATGACTTTGACATTCACCAGTAAATGGATAGATGTGAAGACTATCATGCTAATTGGCAGAAGCCAATCCCAAAAAACCAAAGGTCAAATGTTCTCTCTGATATGTGGGTGCTTACCTACAACAAGGTTGGAGGAGGGAAAGAATAGAAGTTTGGTGGATTAGACAAAGGGGAATGAAGAAAAGGGAGGAGGGATAGGAAATAGGAAAGACAGTAGAATGGATCTGACAAACTTTCCTATGGATGAATATGAATCTACCACAGTGAACCTCTGAAATAAAATGTCACTTTATTCCTTATGGCTCTATGTGGTAAAATGCTAAGGGAGAATAATTTCTTTCTTGACTTCTTTCAAACGTGCTACTAGGAGAGTATAAAAATGCATGCCACAATCCTAATTAGAATGAGATATGTTCCATGTTTGTATAGATAGATCCTACTATCATGTATAACTAAAAAGAACAAATTAAAAAAGAAAGAAAGAAGTGAGTTTCAGTTAAGGTAGATGACATTCAGTAGATGTGTTTACTAATTCTTTTCTGATAACAGACATGGAGTCCCATTTCTAAAAATATTCTGCAAAGTCTCTCTCCCACTTAGAGATATTTCTTTTTGCAGAGTTCATCTTTTTCTGCTGTTTCAAACCCAATAAGTTGTTAAGTATTATGGTTTAAAATATAGATAGTATAAATCACTTCTTCTCAATAAATAGTACTGTGCTGTGGCATTATGTTTCTGATTTTAGGTAACTACAGCTGTGTCATAGGAATTTTCATTATAGATGTACCTGTGCTAGGGTCTTTTGTTATTGTTGTTTTTGTTTTTTACTTTTAAGGCATGGGAATGGGACCCGTTTATCAGTGTTACCAAATTGTACAGTGATGTATACCATTTCATTAAAAGGGACCTCAGGCAGCTGCTAAGCTGCCTTCCCCCCTAATCGGTTCTGGGGATAGAGTACAAAATCCCCTTTTCTACTTATTTTTTTAATTGTAATTGAATTCAGGGGCACTCCACTGAGCCACATTACCAGCCCTTTTATTTTTTATTTTCAGACAAGACCTCACTAAATGTCCCATGCTGGACTTGCCATCCTCCTGCCTCAGTTTCCCAAGTAGCCCCTGCACCTAGCCAGAACCACCTTTACTGACCACCATTAGTAATTGCAAAATTACTCAGTCTTCTACTGCAGGGTAGGTGTAAACTGGCTGAAGGATAAAAAAAGGAATGAAATAGAAATCTCCCTGTGGTATTCATTATTTTCAATAAATTAAGACATAATTGATGTTTACTTAAATATGATTTTATAGTAGTTTACAAAAATGGATTTAATGCAATATTATTTCAGTTAGACTTACCTGTTAAAATCCAGATTTATTTTCTGTTCTGACCCGTTCCACTTTCTGCTTCCAGACAACCCTGCTCTGTTCTGGTTCTCGAGACATATCTCTCTCTGGGGGAGCATTTCTTTCAACCTGGCCGTGTTCATCAATCTAGCAGTTGCTCTCTTCTACCCATTTGGGGATGATGGAGATGAAGGCAAGTGCTTGTCTCTTCAAATGATCAATGTTTTAAAATTCTAAAATTAATATACTACATAAGTTCCTTAACCATAAACAGCTCTGAAATAAGGAAAATTTAATTATTGTTAAATTAATTTTTCTGTTTTTGAAAGCATGATGCTGAGTGTTCAGTAAACTGTGGAGAGGAATATAATTTTACAAAAAAAATCTCATATATACATGCACATATATGCAACCTATAATTTTTTGGTTTTGATTCTATAATATTATATATAATAATATAGAAAGTTGAATATTTATAATCGTGGTCTTTAAAATGCACAATATAAGACAGAATATAATAATAGAGAATAAAGGATATTGACTATGAAATTAGTATTATTAAACTAATAATGCATGTGGTTTTATAAGGGCAAAGGTGAGATAAATACCATTTTAAGTGAAATGGGAAATAAGGTAGAAATATACTTAAGGGTTTTGAGAAATAAATTTTGTTTGAGTTTGACAGTGCACATGGGAAAATATATTACAAGTGAGGGAAACAAGTAAATACCTTTGCAGTTGGCGTGGAAAGAATGGGGGGGCATGAAAAAATCAGCAAGTGATAACTATGAAATACTTTTGTATTTCAAATGATAATCATGAAGTGCTTTGTATTCACAGGATTATTGTGAAAATTTAAGGAGTTGCTATAGGTAAAGCATTTATAATAGTGCTTTACCTATAGCAACTCCTTAAGCGTCTGATAAAGTTGAGTTGTGGTTGTTATAAGGTACAGTATGTTCATGCTACCAAGGGAAGCCTGTTGGAAAGGTGTTATGATGAAAGCAACAGATATTTAAGCTCATTTCAGATGAACTGGAGGTGAGACAAAAAATGGGAATCCTAGAGTAATTTTCTATTTTACAAGTCCATTATAGATATCAAAAATATTAAAATCATAACCTTTAGATACAATTTGTGTGGTCATGAAAAAAAGATTTCTTTCATTAGAAGACATTGCCAATGATAGAATATTTGTCAATAAGGTGGATGCGCGAGTTAAATATCAGTGAAAAATGTAGCAACTCTTTGGCCATCCATACTGCACTAGGAAGTGGAAACGGCCTGTCTCTTCGGCCCTGTGTTTGGTCTCCTTTAATGTGAACTCTTGGCACCCGAGGAGTGTAACTCTTGTGACAAGAGAAGTCCAGCATGAAATGATAGATAAATCACTATCATCTGCACACAGACTGCTGAGACTAGATGGCAGAGTCCCAGTTAATAGAGGCATAAAGTTTTAGAGTTGGAGGCAACTCTAGAATTCATCCAGTATCAAACCTTTATTTGACAGATGCAGAGATGGAAACCCAGAGAGGCAAACATGGCTAATCTCAGAGTAGAAGTCTAAACCTTTTGTTTCTAATCTGGGACCTTTCTTCATGAAAGATTGTATTGGAAATATGTAGATAGTATGTGCTCCTTCATATATGACCTCATGTCCCCTCAGTTCCATTCTATGATATTGCTGACATGACCAGCAGAGATGAGGTGTACAGCCTTTGATGCCACCTATTATGCATGGTGATGGGAAATGCCATCCTCTGGACCACTGTTCCTTACTCATTCAGGAGAAAGCAGAACACCAGATGTATTTTTAATACTAACCTGACTGATAATAGTTATAATAGTAATATTGATAATAATAATAGTGGCTGATGTCATTTACCATTTAGATTGGGTCAGGCAAAATGCTCAGCACTTTACAAACATAATTTCATTGAATCTTCCTGACAAAACCTGTAAAGTGAGTACTTTGTTCTATGGATGGTACACCTGTTTCAGATTTGCCTAATAATTCTATTTTTAAATAAGCTCTCAAGGTGTTTCTGATGTGACTAATCCTTGAACAAAGACTGAAAACCACATGTATAAATGGGTTTGGAGTTGTTCTCCTGACTCCAAAAGAAATAGGATTAACAAACACGACCCTGAAAAACATGGTGCCCCATCATCAGCTGCAGATGCAAACTTTCCCTTGAAAAGGAACTAACAGTAGCAACCGAGGAGAGGCTCAGTCTCAAAGTATCTGGGTGTGGGCTTGGCATTTAGAAGAAAGGGGCAATGTAGAACCCCAAGATGAGTCTGGTCATCAGATTGCAGTTCCAGATGAATGATTTAGTTATTACTCCATGAGCAAGGTTGAAATTTAGGTCACAGTTAGCATAGTCTTCAAACCTCAGCTGCACACTGTGCATCTCTAGGAAGGCCAAGGAAGGAAAGTCAAGGCTGATAAGTACACTTGGCCACCAGAACTATCTGAAGAAGAATTCTGTGCTGGTGGTGAAAGCTCTTTGATGCTGAATTTTTTCGAACAGGCTGAACCATTACTCTCCTGGAGCACTTTGAAGTCATTAAAAGATGGATTATGTGACCATTAAAATTCTTCTAAGATGTGCTCAAAAAATGATGGGGACGTGTAAGAACACAGGATCCAACTTAAAAGGCCTCCTCGTCGCCAAATCTGAGAAAACTTTGAGAAAAAAATTATTGACAGTGACACATTATAACTCATGGAATAAAAAAAGAATCCAGGAATCCATATTTGTAGTGAGAAAAAAGAATTCTTCCTTATAATAGTATTCTTGTTAATAAAATGTAGGCAGAATGATGGAAATAGAATATCACCACTTGACAAACATCACAGCAGTAAGAATCAATAATGGGTGCTAAAAATAAGGGGTAGCTATATGATGAAAACAGGATGTTCACAGAGTCTTACCAATTACAAAAGGAAAAGTGGTAACTTTAGAGTGGAGAAATCACTTTAAGCATTCAATCTTCATGTTGCCATTCATGAGACATGGTAACATCATGTGGCTTCTGACAAAAGGTACCAACAAGGACATAACATCATTTGCCAAAAATGATGAGTAAACTGAGGAAATTTCAGACACACTCCAAATCAGGGACATTCTATAAAATAATCAGCTAGTAATTATTATAATAATTAAAGTTATCAGGTTTATTTTTTAATTTCTTTTTTTAGTTGTAGATGGACACAATACCTTTATTTTGTTTATTTATTTTTTTAATGTGATGCTGAGAATCAAGCCCAGTGCCTCACACATGCTAGGCCACTGCTCTACCACTGAGCCACAACCTCAGTCTCTTATGAGGCTTATGAAAGACAAAAATTAAAGAATGGTCCAAATTAAGAGAGATGAAAGAGGGCTGGAGCTGTAGCTTAGTGGCAGAGTGCTTGCCTAGCATGCATGAGGTACTGGATTCAATTCTAATGACCACATAAAAATAAACTAATAAAATAAGGCATTCCATCCATCTACAACTACAAAAAAATTTTTTAAAAAAGAGAGAGATGAAAGAGATGTGACAACTAAATGCATCGTGATCCCAAAAAAAAGATTTTAGTTGGACATATGGCCAACTTTGGTCAAATAGGTTAGCTAAAAATGCCTCATCAATGATGTTGATCTTTGGTTATATAAGGTGTTGACATTGGGGAATTTAGGTAAAAGATATGGAGGATTTTTTTTGCATTATTTTTGCAACTATTACATAAGTCTTAAAGAGTTTGCAAATGAAGTTTAAAATGAAAAATAAGTAAATAAATATAAGGAATCTATTTTACCCTGAGATCCTCATAATTTTGTGTGTAGATGTTGATCATGTTGATCATGAAATCTCCTAATAAATCTTGAGCCAAAAAAAAGACCTCTGATTAATGTGTGCCACCCTTTCCAATCCCAAACCTTAATGCATGTTACTTTAGAGCCACAGAGACCAATGGGAACATGAGAGCTGAGGGGCTGGCAGAGGGACTGGGCTGTTGATGCTTTCTCAAGGTGTATTTTCCAGCCTTATAACAACAGAGCCACTGGGGATTTCTTGGGCCTCAAGTCTGGTTTACAATGGGGATATAATATTAACTAAGAGAATAGTGTTCCCCTTTGGCCATGGCACTGGTATACAGTAATTAAAGGGAGATATTATGGGAAGACAATTCTTAGAGGACAACTTGAAAAGTACCCTCTGTCCTCTACTCCAGATAGAGAATGTCCTCTCATCTCCAGGCTAGCACAGCAGCTGTTGATGCTAGGGAATCTCCTGGATATCTGCTCATAAATTAAAGATGGCCATGCCAATTGTCTCTGTCCTGGACTGCATTTGGCAAAAGCAGACTATTCAGGGGAGAGAATTTTGCCATTGGAATTTCTCATAGCAAGATAGCATGTGATTTTTATAAAAATGAGTGTGTTTGTGTGTGTGTGTGTGTGTATTTCAATTTTGTAGGTAATTCTTTTTCCCTACAAGTGCTTTGTGTTAAAAAATAAATAAATTCTTCAAGGTATTTCAGTACATTCAATTAAATAAGCATAAGCATTGATGGGGTACCACCAAATTTCAGGCAGCATGCTAGATCCTAGAAATTCTAATAGTAGGAAAGCTGTCCTTGTCCTTAAGAAGTTCTTGGTATGATTAAAGGAGCAAAAGTTGAGAAAAGCACAAGGAAAACCCATGGATTTATGAATGGATGTCTACTTTAGCTGGACTAGGCAGAAAAAAACAGGAGAGTCTTATGAACCTATGTGGGAGGCAGAGGCCATGGAGAGAGACCAAGAAGTAAGAAGCAGATTGCTCTATACAGGAAGCCATAAACAAATTAGCATGAGGTAGATTGAGGTAGATAGCAGCGTTCCATTATGTGAACTGAATTGAGTTTCCAATTTTGCTGCCTAAAATTTCTTTTATAAAGGCTTAACTTCCTACTTTCTAAGATTTAAAAATGTATAGGGGGATTTCTAAAAATATTTTCCATTATAAATATTATACATGCTCCTTATAGAAAATTGGTAGAAATATACTGTACTGAGAAGAGAGATAACCTTCCCCCTTAATGGGTAAGGATTGGATTTGAAAATCTGCACTATCTGCTCTAGAGTTTGTCAGAGACGTTTCATATTTTAATTTCCTTTCTTTCTTTTTCTTTTTTTTTTTTCGTGTTGAATCTTCAGATAGAAAACAATAGGATCATTCTTATGGAAGATGAAATTACAGTTATCATTATCAATTAATAGTCATTTAAAATAAATTTTAAGCTTCTTTATTCATTCCTCAAGGATGTATTTATCATTAAACTACGTACAAGGGGCTGTGTGAGACACTTTTGGAATTCTTTCTAGAAAGCAACCAATTTTAAGCACATGGCTATTAATTTCTTGTATAATCAGGAGGAAATCTCACCAAGCTTGATACTATATGGAGAAGTGTAAAGATGTGGCTACCTTATCAGGCATTAACATCCAGTGTGGCTATCTGTGCCAAATCTGGGACTTCAAGAATGTCATACCAAGACATTGTGAATTACACTGAAGAGTCACTTGATTGATAGAAAATTGTTAAATGTGCCTTGAAGATGTTGGCGGTTTTAATATACTTGAAAGTAAAGCTCTGCAACTTGGAGTGTTTATAAATAGACTTAACTGCCTACTTAAAATGAACTCACAGAGTATGTTTCTGTTTGTTTACTTAATGAACTTTAATTTATTGCTTCAAGACAAGCCCTGTGACAGACCTCGAGATGGCCCTCTCCCTTAGGGTTTGCATTCTAAGAGACCCAAGTCCTAATAAGGATAAGAGGACCCTAAAGGCATTTTTTTTTTCTCATTGAGATCTATGACGTCAAGGCAGTTGGTGGTTAGGCTTTATTTTGGGTAGACACAAAATGATTATAAGCCAATATCAAAATAAACACAAGTAGCATGTCCATTTTGTTAGCACTGGAAACAGAATGTAACTTTCAGGAAGTTTACCCCTTTTCTTTCCCCACCCCTGAATTAATCTTACCAGATAAATTTGATTATGGGAGAGATCAAACCTCTCTTCCCAATCTTTTTTCATCATTGTTTGCTATAAAACATGTGTTAGTTCATTTTGTATGGATATAATAAAATACCTGATGCTGGGTACTTCATTAAAAAAAAGAGAGACTTGGAGTTCAAGATTGGATGGTCCTATCTGTTCACCCCTTGGTGAGGGCCCTCGTCACAACATGACATGTTATAACTCACAACATTATAGAAAGGTGGATGTGGAAATGACCGGGTGCAAAAACCCTGCCTGCAAGATAGCCTCACTTTATAACAACTGCTTTGGAGAGAACTGTGTTAGTCCTGTGATAACTGCATCAATTCCTTCCCAGGGCAGTACCCTCATGACCTAATTACTTTGCAGTAGGCCCTGCCTCTTAAAAATTTTACCACCTCAACACCATCATACCGGGGCCCAGGCTTCTAGGCTGTGAATCTCTGGGGAACACACTCATACTGTATGCAGACTATAGCAAGAGAAAACATGATAAAAACAAGCATTTCAGAAGTTAATGTCTAAACTAATGCTCTTCATTGATATTTTTTGTTTGTTGTAAACTTTTTTTATGGTTTGTATCTGGAATATCTGCTCCCACCCAAGGTTCATGTAGTCAAGGCAGCAACATTCAGAGATGGGACTGTGGGGAAGTGTTTGGAGCATGAGGGCTCTGACCTCAACAGTGAATCGATAATTTGATGGCATTTTAGGGAGGTAGGACATAGTTGAAGTGGGCCCTTGGGCATGTATTGTCCCCAACCTCCTTCTCTCTCAGTCTGCCTCCTGTCTGCCATGAGGTAAGCAGCGTGGCTCTGCTTCACCTTCTGCCATCATGTTCTGCCTCACCTCAGGCCGGAAGCAATGGACCTGACTGTCCTTGGATGGAAAGCTCAAAACCACAAGCCCAAATAAATCTTTCCTCTTTAAGTTGTTTATGTCAGGTATTTTGGTCACAGTGATGAAAAGCTGACTAACACAACATCTGACAGTATCAGTCTATTTTTGAAATTTATTAGCACTGTGAACTAAAGTCTATACAGAATTCATTAAAGGAGGCCAGATAACCCAGGGTTTCAGTGATAGTACAAAAGCTCTCCACACCAAAGCACTCAAGGTGTTTTGCATGAAGAAATAAATTTATAAAATAATAAAAACAGGTGTGGCCAAAAGAATAAGAGTCATCATGGAATACTTACTAAAGAAATTTGTGGAAAAACCTCCATTTTGCTGTACCCCCTGTGGCAATGTCATCCTATGGACAGGAGTTTGAAGTTCCAGAGCTGATCCAGTCAGCCCAAGAATGTTGCCCCTTGATTTACTTCTACAGATGGAGCACTCACAACCCACAGAGGATTCCTTGATTCTGCATGTCAGTGCAAATGTCATTGAATTGTACTTCTTTTTAAAAGAAAGATATTTTTAAGCCTCCTTTGTGGGCTCTTTCTGAGAAATTCTGTTTGTAATGGAGTTCATTTTTAAAAACTTTTTATTTTCTGATGATTGCATAGCTCTACATTTTCTATAAAACTTGTTTTGGATTTCAGATCCTCACAGTCATACACATACATTCAGATGTAGACACCTGTGTGTGTGTGTGTGTGTTGTAACAGTTCAAACTTGTCCTTACTTTATAAAAAATTAGGTACTCTACATACTGGATTGTTTTTAGGGAAAACATAATATGGATTCTTGGTAATAATGAAGCAAGACAAAGTATGAGTTCAATGAAAAAGTTGCCTGATTTCTCATAATTTAGCTATACCCCTAACAGTCATTAATCATAAATTTTGAATTAGGATTTCCAAATGAGATGGGTCTTAGAAAATTACTGGAAAGCACTTAGAAAATTACTCCCAGAGGTGAGATAGGAGGAGAATTCTCAGATTTAATAGAAGGAGGTTAACTAGTGAGTAAGTAGCTTGAAATTAATCACAAACTTTCTAGTAATGCAGTAAGTAGTGTGTTCAAAGACATTTCCTTAGAATATAGAGTTTACAGTGGTTTTGTTTCAGTGCATTATGGCTTGACTTGCTCAAATAGAGGAGCAAGTATTTCAGCATTTTCTAGTTTTATTCTCATTGAAAATAAATTTCTTCCACATTTTACAGGTACCCTCTCTCCATTGTTCTCAGTCCTTCTGTGGATAGCAGTTGCGATCTGCACGTCTATGCTGTTTTTCTTCTCCAAGCCTGTGGGTATTCGGCCCTTTCTTGTGTCAGTCATGCTCAGGTCAATATATACTATAGGTCTTGGCCCTACATTAATACTTCTTGGTGCAGCTAATGTAAGTACTTTGCTTAGTTTCCTATTGTTACAGAACTAATTAAAAGTGTATTAAACATAAAACTGTAGCTCTATGTTTTCACTCATGTAGACAAAGTGAATTCTAATTTATTGTGAACCTAAATTAGCCATAGTATAATTCGTACATTATTTAATTTAGAGAAATAAAAAAATGACAAAAAATCGATATATTTAAGGAGGTAGCATTTGGGGCATGACCCAGTTCTGCCATCAATTTAATCTAATCCAATTTTAATGCCATCCGTATCCTATACCCACAGCTATTGACAGCAATGACTCCAAGCCACTGTAAAACATCCTAAAATGATTTCTAAATCATCCAAGAAAGATTAAGTTATATTCAGTAGAACTTAAGAAGTGAATACCTTTTTATCAAATGACCTAAGAAAAAGGGTTATTGCCTGAGAAAATATGAAATTGGACTCCTTTTATGTGAACAAATCTTATAAATTTGTAGAAGGCATAGATAAGATTAATATTCTTTTTGCCAAGTTTTGAAATACTAGAAAAAGGGAGTACATTTTGAAACTTTAGTTAGGTGAGTTTAGAATATGCAAGCTAGAATACTATTTCAAAAAAAGCAGGTAAGACATTTATACAAATAATATTACCCAAGAAGTAAAATTTTTAAAGGATCTCTCTACCAGCTTTACACAAGGTGAAACCATAAATGGATATTACCTTAAGAAAAGATATATCACCTGGCTTTTGAAATACAAATGGACAGGTAAGCCCAGAAATATTGTTATTATAGCTACTGAATTCCTAATGCATTTTATCTTTTACTGAGTTTTTAACATAATATACCCTATTCTGGAAATTTTTTAGCCAGAATTTATCTCCCTTACTACATTATACAGTTCTTAAGAATAGTGCTTGATCATTCCATGTCATAAGGAACATCACAGGGACTCAATAAATATTTCTCAAAGCAGTCAACTAATTATTAAGTGAATGAACGACTGAAGGAATGGTTATCTTTGTATTCTTGTACAGTGTCTTACACATAAAATATGTTCAAATACTTATTGAAAATTAATAAATGAAATAGTCAATCAAATTGTGAGAATTATGATGCTGAGCTAGTATGAGCAATTCTATATTTCTGTGTTTCTGATATCTCTTTTATTACAATTCTTCAAAAATTAAACATGACATATTTGACACTTCCCAGTTAATCGGATTATTCAAGCAACCAAATTGCCAGTTCTCAACTATTGTTAATAAAGGGAAGTGTATTATAAAGAAGTCTATAAGTACAGAATCTTGTAAAGTACCAAATATACCTTCTGCAAGTTTCTGGAGGGCAGAAGTTGGTCACGTTCATGTACATAATCCTACTCTTCTTGCTCCCTTCCAGCTCCTTTTTTCTTTACTCTAATACTTGGTATTTGAACATTGAAAATATTTACATGAACTGAACTTGTACTTTCAATGCATTGGAAATAAGCTAATTTGGTAATATTACCAAACCATCTAATTTGAGAATATTCAGGAATATATCTAAATTTTTCTAAACCTATGTATTTGGCTTATTTTTTTCTTTAAAAAAATAATTTGAATATGAAACCATATTATTTAAGAAGCAAATATTTTTCATAAACTGGTAACTGACCCTCAATAGGACACTAACCCTAAGTTAGAAAAATCCAAGTTTGATAAGTGAAATAATAGTTAGATAGATTTGGCCAAAAATAACAAACTTTCACTGTGCCCCTGTTATGTAATTTAATAGATACTAAAAATAGCAAGAGGAGAGGACATGGTGCTCGCCATCTAGAGGTGGATGTGTCAGACTCACTGTTTTGCATGTTCTTTATCTTTGGACCCAGAATATATTAAAAGATGAGGAATAGCATTCTAATGTCTGTTGGGATAAACCCAAAACACTTGAAGTATTTCTCTTATCCCCCTCCTGGGATAGGATAAAAACAACACTTGTCCTTAGGTTTTGGTGAGAATAATTCCACTATAACAATTGAGTATTCATATGAAATGCAAGTCTTATACTTTAATATCTTTATGAAAAATTTTTAAAATATGTAAACATATCTACCTTATTAACTATATGAAAATCTGCTGGTACCCTAATAGCTTTTATAGTATAAAACATGTTTGCACAGCCAGATTATGCATTATCACATCCACTGGTCCAGGGCATTTTGATGAAAGAATCAATGTCAATTTGGGACAAACTCCATGGAATAATTATAATCTTGATATATTAGGTATTGACAGAAGTTTTATCTATAATTTTAATATTATATCAACTAAGAATTCTTAGTGAATAATCATCTACCTTAACTTTTAAAATAACATACTGTAAAATTATCTGCGGTTTATTCAGGAGGCAGGAAATAAACAAATGAAAATATGAATTGGTCATGCTGTGTATCTTAGGTTTTAATATGTTCATTTTCTTAATTTATGCTTACACATTTGCATTGCATAACAGGTGAGATTATAAGTGCTAAAATTAGAGATATCAGAAACAGGAAAAACCAGACATCTACTTGAAAGGTTAGCCTTAATGAAAATCAGAACTAGACTTCAGGCAACTCAGCAAGCCTCTGAATTTCATTCTTCTCATCCGTGGAAGGAATGAGATACTGATACCTAGTCTGTAAGAGAGCAGTTGCTATTTAGTGCAATTGAGATGAGTGTGGAAGATTTAGAAAAGAACAATAATTAGGATACTGATACAACAGTAATAATAGCTACCATTTACTTAGGATCTAACATGTGAGGCAGTATGCGCTATCATGATTGGAGAGTGTTTCTGTTTTGGTTCTTGTTCCTGGACTCTGCCTTTCATAATGTTATGCAAACACTGAAAGTCTCTTTTGGAAAAGGAACTAAGTGGGAGGAAAAAATCCTCAGCTTGTGTGCTGAGCATTTAGGATTACTGGCTCCTCTTTGTTGTAGTACTTCATTTTTTTTCATCTTTATTCATTTTTAGAAATTGAAGTTTTATCTAGATTTTAACTAGCTTATCTTGTCACAGGAGTTATCCCAATATTTAAGATGTTTCAAAAATTCAAACGTTTTCTTTCTCAGTTATAAAGCACATCATATAACCCACTATAGTTTCCTTCTTTCTCATCCACTACACTGCATTGATAGTTAATGGTAATAGAGATTAATATGTTCTTCTGACAAATATAAGTGAACATTTTAGAAATTTAGGATCACTTAATATTTTTTCATTCTAATAAGATTGTATGTAAATCTCATTTTAATCGTCATGTAAATGTTAAATAACCTGTTTAACCCTTCCATTATCTTTTGTTTAGATACTTACATTTTAAAATAATATCAATATAGTAAATATCAGATCTTTTAACATCTTGTAAATACTTTTTAGTCACAATGTTTTTTTTTTTTCCTTTTTCTAACAATGCCTGGAAATGTGTAATTGATTTAAAGCTATTTGTACATCATTTGTCTTTCTCATAGTTATTTCTCATGTGCAAATGTTTTTTTATGCTAGAACTTGGTCTTGCCATTTTGCAGAGAGGAGAAGCAAATGGTGTTTAGCAGATAACTAGTCTATCAAATAAACTATGGTGTTCAAATAAATCATACCCTCAGATATTTACCTGTAGGTAGTTTTCTGGAGGTCTCTTGTTGCTATTGATCGATAAGGTTGGATCCCATCATATGTTCACTTAATATATACAAATTCAATTATACATTCCAAGTCAAAACTCTTATATTCCCCCCACACACACACACAGTTTTACAGATTATGGTCAATGAAAGCTCCTAACTACTTCTGGTATTCACTTGCAGAATACAAAATTGCTTCAGTGCTGTTTTTTTGTACTTAGTGAGAGATGCTACTCTTTATATCGTCCAGGTTTACTGTACTGTTTTGTGGGCAGATTAAAAGATTTCCAGGGCAATTCTGACTGCAAAATTTGCATGCAAATTTTGTCTTACATATTAATCTTAGAACCTTATCTTGCCTACAATGTAACATCACTGAAATAGAGATTTTTTTAAAAAAAATTAAATCATCTCATTTTCAATGAGAAGGGTGATTCAGTCGGTTGGTGAAAATATGGTAATGTAGTTGAAGATTATAAATTCAATTTTATCTTTTCAACATATAAGCAGACAAGTCTTGCATGGTTTTTTTTGTATTCTACAATTTATTCTTGGAAAATAGGTCATATTTTCCCATAGGAACAATGTTAAGATGGGGATATAATTCTTGATCAGGGCCAGAGTATGAAGTTAGATCACAAGGATAATATAAAGACGAAAACAAATGTCTGTGATCAGATTAAATAGTAAAATTTAAAGGACTCACATAAAATTCTAGAACTATAAGGCACCTAAATTCTAGGCACATAATTGCAGACATGAGCAAATAAAATCCTGTAGAGACAGAAGGATGTACTAAAGCAGGAAGTTAGTGCCATAGCCACAACTGGACCCCAGATGGCCAACTTCTCATCCAGTGTTTTTCCACCACACTGCACTGATATTAGTCCTGAAGACATATCCACAGACTATAAAGTGTATATGGAGATATTACTTTACTGTATATTTTTTACCTAATTAAAACCAGTGGTATTGCTTTAGTATACATTAATGAACAAGTAACTGTTAAATTCACTTTTGTTTGGGAAGACCTGATGGTGTAGCACTGTTAATAAAATTTCCAGAAAGTTTACTTTGAAGTTGCCTCTCCATGCCCACTCTTTTTTCCCCACCAACACATAACTGACCCCATCCCCATCAAAAATATAGACTGGGCAGCTTTGAAAACTAAATGGAGAAGGGAGACCAAATGAGACAGTTATGGTGTTGTATATTGGTCCCATGTGTCTGATTCCAGGGCTTTCTAAGCCAACTCAGATGTTCTCACTAAACTTCTAGTCGTTGTTGTCCATGTGGACCTTTGCCATAGAAATGATTGCAGTAGTGACAGGTGAAGGACTGGTTAGATGACAGCAGCCAAGTCGTGACATGAAAAGGGAGAATGGTTTTGCTTTTTCATTATTTGAGAACCAAAATGTATTGCTCTTTTTTGAGAATTCAAATTCAACGTATCAGTTTTCCTTAGTGTACATGGCTTATAAACTTTTTTCTTACATAAATATTCCCAGCTCTTAAGGAAAGTGTTCTATGAAAACAACTGACAAATTGCATCCTATGTGAGAAACCAGAGTTCAACTTCTTGTCTAATCAAATAATTATTCTTGCATTTATTTCTCCTTGGTATGAACTCTTTTTTTAAAAAAAATATTTTTAGTTGTTAATAGACCTTTATTTTATTTATTCATATGTGGTGCTGAGAATTGAACCCAGTGCCTCACACATGCCAGACAAGTGCGCTACCACTGAACCACAGCCCCAGCCCTTGGTATGAACTCTTTAAATCATGAGGACATTGATTTCCCTGTGTCTGATCTCAAGAGAAATAGATGGATGCCGCTGCTAGAGCTGACTCCATTCCACTTCTAGACTTAGTCCAGAGAACAGGAATGTATCTGTCACACTCTAGATCAAGATTCATAAACAAAAACTCTGAATACAAATAAAGCAAATCTCTAATCTTCATGTGAAAATGGCAGAGTCCCTTTTAGGCAGATATGTGTTCTTGCTTTTTCATTATTTGAGAACCAAATGTATTGCTCTTTTTTGAGGACTTAAATTCAAAGTATTCTTTTTTCCTCAGTGTACAGGACTTATAAAGTTTCTTCCTACATAACTTTTAATGATGTAATTTAAAGAATTAGAGATCAGAAAACAAGAACTTTCTTAATCACATCATTCATCCTTCTGAAAAGTTATGATTCTTACTTTTAATTCTATTTATTATACAACTTATTTCTATATTATACTGATGAATTATAACAAATTAATCAAGATAGTGTAAATTTAGACAAGAGCCACTCAAAACAATTAAGAGAGTAAACTGCTGAATACACTTTGCCAGATATTCTATTTCTTCCCATTTTCATGGCTGTTTCTTGTCAAATACTCCATGTGGAGAAGCACTTTATGTAAAGTCCCTGTTTTTATGATATCAACCCTGTTCTTGAACAATAAATATCAAGACTTCTATTATACCATAGCTGTATTTAATACTAGTGGAAGCTAGTGAGGAAACACTGAACAAAGAAAATAGTAGGAGTTTCTTTCTATTTCGTGTTATTAAAATTGTTAAGATGATGAAGGAGGAAGTGATCAATTATTGCAAGGATAGTTAATTGGCTGAGGGGAAATTTAGGAAAGTTTTGACTTTTAGGTGCTGGGCTGTTGAATTGACTGGTCTTTCAAAACATTCACTAATAACCCATAGGTCATTTCATCTGTGTTGATTTGGGCTTCAGAAAGTTGAAGGAAAAGTTTTTTTTCACCCTTTCAAATTTTATATCTGACTCAAAGTGTTATGTTTCTTTTTATGTTATTTAAAATCATCCCCTAAGGTACTTTTGTTTATGTTATCGATATAGAAAAAAACCAACAGTGTTGCAAAGAGCAATCTGTTTTTCCAAAGTTAGGTTTGGATGCTTAAAGATAAATATGTTTCCATTAGATAATGTGAAGAACTCAGGGAACAATGAGGAAGGAAAATTCTAAGAATTCTTGGAATCTGTAATTTCTTCTTTGATGACTATGAGGCAAAATTGGCTCTTATAAATAATGCTGTGATTCAATAACCAAAGAGATGGCACTAAGTTTATGATAACTAATGTCTTTATAAATCACTGTACATATCATTGTTATTGTTAAAGAAAGTCAATATAAATTTCTACATTCCCAAAGTTATGCCACAAAAGGTAATATTAATTAAAGCCTGAATATAAATGTACTACATGATCAGAGAAATAGTAAACATTCCAAAATATTTATTGAATAATTACTACATATATGGCTTAGAAAATAAATATGTGCATTATGTTTATTTTAACCCAGGTACATAGTACATTCATATTTTCAATGTATATAAAATATATGGTAAAAATATTTAATGACTTGCTTCTTTAAAATAATACTCAATATAAAAAAATCCAAGATAGAAAAGACAAATCTATATATTTTCTTTTTTTTTCTCAAATCTATATATTTTCTAAATTTTTTTTCTGTTATATTTTAGTGTAGTAAACCATTTTATATTTCTTTTAATATGAAAATAATAGTAAAAGTAGTAAAGAGTCATTGTACTAATTGATTCATAATGCATAATGTCTTTTAGTCCTCTAAAGAGATCTATGAGGGAAATTTTTTATTCCAATTTTTCAGAAAAAAAAACTTTGAGGCTTACAGTTGCATGGACTAGGTTGCATAATTGAAAGAGCCAGGATTTAAATTCAAGTCTGTTTCAATTGCATAGCTAGTTCTCTTCATCATTCTTCTCTCTTTTACTGAAACTGAAAAGGATACAAGTTTTGCACATATTATGTTTCTATGCAGATTTATATTAGAAACCATGAAAGAAAACCACAGAGTATATGGATAATAGTTTTTGTCAGTATCCTGCCATGTATGTGAATTCAGGATAAATAAGACAGTAAAATCAAATCTTTTTTACTTTTAGCTTTGTAATAAAATAGTATTTCTGGTGAGTTTTGTGGGAAATCGTGGCACGTTCACCCGAGGATATGGAGCAGTCATCCTGGATGTGGCCTTTCTCTATCACGTGGCATACGTCCTGGTCTGCATGCTGGGCCTCTTTGTTCATGAGTTCTTCTATAGCTTCCTGGTGAGTAATCTTTACATGGACAGTCACTGCTGATAAAGCCACAGTGCTGCTGCTGCTTATGCCTTGTCCTTTGATTTATTTTTTATTTTTTTAGAGCAGGGCCTGACATTTAGGACAAATTGTGTTATTTTTAGAATTTCTAAGGAAGAGTGTGAATTATAATTTTAAGTCTTTCTTTTTTTTTTCTGGGAAACCACCATAGGAGGTATAGTTTTTTGTTTCCTCTCTCAGAAGCAATCAACCATCCCACCTCTTCTCAGGCTTCATAAGACAGCTGCTTTTGGTTTCAGCCAACTAATATTTCCCTTTACATTTCAATATTCTCCAACAGTGTGGGGAAAAGTAAGGATCTATTTTCTTGGGTGCTGAAATCATTGTATTTTTATAGTATCAAATGTTATCTTCATCTTTAGAATGTTATCTAAGTAAAATGAGGAGAAACAAAGGCCAACCTAGGGAAAAAGACAATGAGTCATTTGTTTTAGGTACAGTCTTATAGTTTCAGGTTTAATATGTGATTGTTAAGTATATATATATATATACACATATTAAAGAAATATATGTGTATATATTTCTTTCTTTCTTTAAATAGATGTTTTTAAGACTTTTCTAGAATGATTATTCTGTTTTCCTTTCTACATATATACTGTTTTATAGCAATAAACCAGGAGAGGAGTCAGTATAAATGTGTTATAATGTTTTGAAACTTAGAACACTACCATGTTTGTTAGCATCATAGAGCTGTAGGGACAATTTATTTCTGTCTCCGGTTCATAGTGAATATACAGTAGAGAGTGCTGTCTACTAAAGTGATTCCTGAAAACAAGCTGAAGACCTAAAACATTTTGTTGACCAGTTCATTCAGGCCAGCAAGGAAGAATTCAGCACCTTTTGCTTTCCTATTACGTGACACAATCATGTAGGAAGGCTGAAATGAGGCCTTATTTCCTTTATCGTTTTATCCTTGGAAGAGTTGTAGTTATGAGTGGATTTTATATTTTGATTCAGACATATTGTATTTTGATACAGACTTATCTTCTAGGCTGTTAAGTTAGATCATTTAGCAATAGATTTTTTTTTTCTATTTCAGCAATCCAAATGAACTTTCTCTTTTTCCTGATTCACTAGAAAATTCCATTTTTTTCCTATGATATGTAAAGTCCTATTATACCCAGCACTTTTACCTGACTCTGACATGCAATAATGTATAATTTTTAAACTACTTCATTCAGGCATTACTGACTTACAGAAATCTGTATAATATTGAATGTATATAACCTGATGAATCTATAATGTGTTGTGTGTTAATCTTATTTATTGAATGGATGGAACAGTATATGAGACTGTTAGTATCAAGATACATCAAGTAACATTAAAACATATGTGAAACGACACATATAAAATCTCTGTTTTCCAGGGAAAGATGTTTAACAAAATAAAAGCTTATTTAATTATTATATGAGTTATTAGAATTGTATTAATTTTATTTTATGTTACTTAACCCAGTTATAGTTTCATTTTCTTTCAATATTTTATCTTTCAAAGTTTATAATAATGATGCTAGCTTGTTCATATTGGGTTAGTTATGAATATAATATCTATTTTGGTGTTTAAGAGTACTAGAAGGAAATTTAACATATAATATTTATTATAATATATTTATTATTATTAAAATTATTTATTACTATATACTATTATGTATTTAAAATATTATTTAAAATTATTATTTAAAATATTATTTTAAATTATTATTATTTAAAATTACTTTGTGTATTTTAAAAAATATTTGAGTAAGAATTCTCTTGGGTCCTCAAGTGTCAGTCCTTTATCTGAAGTAATAAAAACTACACTCTAAATTTTCCTTGCAGAAATAAAGAACCATCAACCTATCCACTGTAAAGACCTTTAGAACTAGCAAGAGGCTGATGCTGTGGGCTTAGAGTGAGGCTCAGGAATTGTTATCAAGCATCCCACAGGCTTCTGAAAGCTATAAACTCTCTCTAGAGCTAACCTACTGCATATTGCAAGACCTGTTTTTCAAGCCACTGTTGAGTTAACATAAAAGAAAATCTCCTTCATGGCAACTTAATGCTTAAATAAATTGAATAAACCAGAGTAGTGACAATCTGGAAGTTGAATTTGCATTAATTTGTCTTTACTGAAGAATATTGACTTTATTTCTAAAGTTAGCTCCATCTTCCAGAAGATAAATAGATAGAAAGATAGTTAAACTTGGTTTTTTATTTGACCATCATAAAAGATTGGTTTCCTAAAGTGAGCAAACAAGTCAGATGGGGTAGAGAGAGAAGATGGGAGGGGAGGGGAGGGGGGATAGTAGAGGATAGGAAAGGTAGAAGAATACAACAGTTACTAATATGGCATTATGTAAAAATGTGGATGTGTAACCGATGTGATTCTGCAATCTGTATTTGGGGTAAAAATGGGAGTTCATAACCCACTTGAATCTAATGTATGAAATATGATATGTCAAGAGCTTTGTAAAAAAAATTTATTCGTTTAAGAAAAAAAAAGATCTATTGAACAGTTATATATAAGACTATAATTTAATTGAGAAGTAACTGTATATAACCTTCAGTACTTGGAAAAACAGAAAGCAAGACCTTGGTGTTTCTGAAAGCATGTATGACTCATAATTGACCATTTCAGCCCACAGATAACAGAATACCAATCCCAGTTATTCCAATTTTAATGGTAGTATTAATTTCCAAACTGCTATTTATATATATTTTAAGTGAATGTTATTTTATGTCTTTTAATCAGCATTTTATAATAAAATGTACTTACTAATGCATAATTTCAGCTTTTTAATGGAGCAATAAATAAACTCATTCTTGGTATAGACAGTAAATAGCAAACAAATACCTATATTCTTGCCTAGAGCATAGCTTTTCTAATATACTAAAGATAAAATGATTAATGGCCCATTGGCAAAATTGTATATTATAATTATGTTTATACTTTTGCTTCTAAAAGTATTCGCTAAATTAACAGATTTTGTTTTTATTTAGTTAAAAAAAAAAGGTGTTTGCCTTTCTCAAAGGTTTGAATTCCATACCTTTTCCATTGCATCACACTTGTAAAATTGTTCTAATTTCTCCTCTAACCCCTTGAATAAACAATGAAGTTAGTGAATTTGTCAATAATTTATCAGTCAGGTGAATCCACTTTAATTTTTCTAAATTCAAATCAAAGTATACTATTTCTATTATGTCATAGAATAAATTGATATTATATTAATTATGAAGTTATCAGATGCATATTATATGATTAGAGTTATATTTATTGGAAAACAGTTTATTAATATATTCCAAACAGAGAAAAAATAAGTGTTTTGATTTATGTTTAAGGTGGCTTTGGTTGTTTTTTATAGATAAACTAGAATGGCTCACATTTGTATTTGTAATTATCTGTATTCATTTGCTTTTTGCTGCATTACATTTTTTCCTTGTTTTTACTTTCTTCATTTTTGTAGCTTTTTGATTTGGTATACAGAGAAGAGACTCTGCTCAATGTCATAAAAAGTGTCACACGGAACGGCCGCTCCATTATTCTAACCGCAGTCCTGGCTCTCATCCTCGTCTACCTGTTTTCCATTATTGGGTTTCTTTTCCTGAAGGATGACTTCACTATGGAAGTGCATAGGCTGAAAAACAGAACTCCAGTTACAGGTATTGTTACTTCCACTGAATGAGCTTTCTGACGGCAGATATGATTGTATGTAGCTTGTTTGTGGGATTATAGATAAACTCTAATGGAGGAAATTTTCCTTTCATTCCTTTGAAAACATGTTCTTGTTTACTACTGAGAGTCAGGAGCGTGCAGTACTTTCAGAGTACATATTAGCTGTCAATATGTATAGGGAAATACCCACACAAGAAACATCATCTAAGCTCACTCTCAGGAAGAAAATGTCAATAATGCTGACCATACTCCAGAAGTCAGCATCTTCAGTGCAGAATAATGGGTTTGGAATTCTTTCCCTCCTCTTTTTCCTTGATCCATTTGCAATCATTATTCCATATGCTTGGTTGCAGTACAATACCGTATTATATTTAATTGAAAATGATAAATGCTTTGATTTGGAACCCATCAAATAGTAAGGAATTTAATCTGGAAGATATGCTGGAAATACTGTGATGAAGGGACCCAGTCTATCAGCAGGTGATTTTCAGCATCCTGTACAGTCTGTATTTTTGTTATTTGAGTGGTTTGGCAGCACCCATTCCTGCTCACTGTGATTCGGGCCTTATTCTTTCCATGTTACTTTGGATGTTTTAATTATCATGCTTTATAATGACTCCTTTCCCCGTCTTTCTTACCTTCTATTGTTTTGGTTAAATTTCTTTGTTGCTCTTATTCCCCGCCTCCTGCTTTTCTACATAGAATCATAGTCCTGCCTTTGCTGATAATTTTTCTGGTGCATCTGCTGGTTATGGGTTGTAGAGAATAGAAACCACAAAATGGCACAGCCTGTCCTCAAACCATTAAACTTAAAAATAAGATTTAATTAGCATTGCCTTATAAATGATACTCTTTCTTGTCTTTAACAAACATTTCTCAATTATTCAATTGACAGTGTATGATGTTATCTTTCTTAGACTGTGTGATAATTAAGTGGCATTTCAATCTATTAGTAATTCTAAATGATCTAAGCACAGAATAGAAACATTAAATACTTGAATGGAAAGTTATTAAGCTGGGACTCTACTGACTTTCATACCTAGGTGTTAGTCTTTTTTACAATAACCTGAATATTTTCTGCTACTGCTTTCTTTGTTCTTCCTTAAGTATTGCTTTGTACACATTAATACAGGTTTTACATATTTGGTGGAAAAGCTCATATATAAATACCTGTGAAGCTCCACTTTTACTAAACCATGAATCATAAATAGTGCTCTCAACAGTTTTATCATTTTACTTACTTGCTAGACTAGAGGCATGATCACATTAAGTTGCTCAGTACAGAGCCAATCTAAAACAGAAACATTGTAATTTCTGAATTCAAAATGTTTATGGTAGTTATTGTCTTAATGAATTCAGTGGTACATATTTTGTGTTACTTAAGAAGGAAGTTGGTGTCATATTATGAATATAAATATTTTCCTTAGAAATGGAAAAAATACCCTTCTTAACAAAATAGGCAACACTAGAGCTATAATTTCAAGCTCTTTACTAAAAATACTTATGCACATTCATATAGAAAGCTGTTAAATAAAGCTTTTGTAAATGCTATGAAAATCTAACATGTAGAAAGAGCTAACAAAGTTACACTCCTGATTCTTCACAGATTGAGAGTTTTTGTTTCATAGATTGAGTAGTATATGATGTAATGCCCTAGAAAAAGCACCCTTATTTTCATTATATTTTTTGTTCATTTCTAATGCCATGTTGTATCTGTTTTATATCAAATTACTTGAGACTAGATGATTTATAAAGAACAGAGTTTTGTTTAACTCACAATAGTTCTGGAGGCTGAGAAGTCCAGGGGCATAGAGCTGACATCTGCTCAGCATCCTCTGGTGAGGGTCTTCTTGAAGCATCTTCATAAGGCAGAGGGTACCACATGATGAGACAGAGCCAAACTGGTTTTTATAACAGACCCACTCTTACCCTCATAACTTGATCACCCCATAAAGGTCCCACCTGGTCCTACCTCATAATAATTTACAGTGGGGATTAAATTTCTACATGAGTTTTGGTGGGGACATACAAACTATATTAGCAACTCTGTTGAAACATGATATAAAATTTACTCTTTCAAGTATTGGATACCATTTACTTGCAAAGTTGACTATGTGTGTGGAGTGGAATTACTGAGGATAACACACTGGGGAGCAAGTGAAATTTGGAGTGCAGAAGTATGCCATTCTTCCGTGAGTGTGAAGTGCTGACCAGAAAACCAGTGGATGGGAGCACAGAGACTGGGCATTTAGAGCTAATGGCAAAAGCATCACAGGTATATGTGAGAGTGCAGGACTCATTATTTGCAAATTGCTTTGAGAGTTTAGAAGAAAGTGGTTCCTACCAGAATATTCTGCAACTCAAAGAAAACTTCACTTGAGCAGTTTCCAAGGGAACCCATGTTTCAGAAAAGCCCAAGAACTTGGAGGGAAGATTTTGTTGAAAAATTGAGGTGACTTGTCCCTCTTCCCCATCCTCAGTTCACCCTCTTGCTTATCAGCCTCATTTTTACTCTCTAGTACCCTGCAGGAGCTGCCCATGTGGCTTCTTCACCTATAGCCTGTCTTCTGCCTACCCACACTAGTCATTATGACCACAGCCGTGAGTCTGACTGGCTATGGGATGCTTGGTGCAAAGTGTCCTGGTAGCTGAGGTCACTCAGCCTGCTCTGTGCCTTCTGTGGTCCCTATGCCCTTTGTTAGGCAGATTGCACCCGGAATTACCCTATTGACTCCCTGCCTCATCTTCATGCAAGTAAAACATCTGTTTTATTTCCCTTCTAGAATTCACTGCTACCTCTCCTGTTGCATTACACTTTTTTTTCAACCTGTACTTCACTTTCTCTGTTTCACTGCGGTTATGTCTATACCTCTCTGTGTTGCCTACTTGAATTTTAGTTCTTCAAACTCTCAAATCTGAGCCCTTAGAACCTAGTATAGGACTTGAGTAGATATTTATTAAGGGGATGGCCACCAGAGCACATTGAGAAACTCCAGTTCTCTCCCTCTCTGACCACCTGATTCTCACCCCTTTCCCATGTCAGTACTGATGGTGATATGCCCACCGTCAGGGGCAGGGAGAAATGGAGGCCTGAGATCTGTAGTCTCCCTTTCCACAGTGGACCTAGCTCTCTGCTCCAGTGCTTGAGTGCTTTGGTGGCTGACAATCCCACCTCTAGTTCACCTCCTCCTCACTTTCCCTTCTAACTCCAGCTCCCATTTGCCATTTCTACTCTTATCGTAGCTTCTGAGTCAAAGAAAAATTTCTTTCATACAAATAGGAAGATTACTATTTTCTGTTCCATTCTGTACCAGGCAAATAAATGAACAGGTAGATGAGTTTCTGGGGACAATGAAAGAAAGGAGAGATCCCGAACAGGGATCTGGCAAAAAGATTTGTCCTTCCCTGGGTTATTTTATGCCCTTGTTCCCTGCAGCCCATACTTTACTGCTAGAAATGCCACTGACTCTAGTCTGGGTACCTCAGCCATAGGGACAAGTGCTTAGAGTTCAAGGACTGCCAGCTGCATTGAGGGAATATGTTCTTGGCACCCCAGTTCAGAACCCTGGATGCATCTGGCCATACAAACATTCTTACAAATGGTGGTTAAGGTCTAAATATTAGCAATACTTTATCGCAGCCACTTAAAAAAAGGTAAAATGCTTTTAGTGAGTTGGTCCATTAATTTATTCTCTATAAAATTGCTTCAATAGACAAAACTCTGTTCAGGGTTTCAAACCAACTTACTAAAAGACTTTAGCATCACAGTTAAGTGGAATCTGTATGTTTATTTCTTATTGTTTGCATACTCATCTCTACCCACACTCTGCTTTGTATCTTCTTAGGTAATGATGGAGTTCCTACCATGACTTTGCCTTCCATGATGGAAACATGTGAAAAGGAAAACTGTTCACCCACAATACCATCTTCAAATACAGGTCTGTAGAAAGAACTCTAGGATGGTATAAACTTGATACCTCTGAAGTAACGCTAATTACATCTAAGAAAATTGCTCTAGGAATTTCATGGTGAGATGAAATAGAAGAATAGAGGGTAAAAGAACCCAGAGTATCCAAACTAGAGAAAAAGAAATTATCTTGTCTGTTATTTTGAATCCTCGTCTTATTTCCTTGTATTATTGCTATACATGATAATTTAGCAAATTTGTGGTACATGCTGCTAAAATTCTTTTACCATATGGCAAACCATTCCAAGTCTCTTTTGACTGTATAGACTTTAACAAAGGATTTGGAAAAGCACAGGCTTAGAACTCCAAAAACTTGGCTATAATCTTGGACCTGCTACTCCCTAGCTAGATGTCTTGGATATATTTTGAAAATTTCCTGGACTTTGTTCATGTGGCTTGCAAAGAGAGACAATGAGAGAATGAATGAAAATTTCCCTACTTCCACAAGAGCTAGTGAGATACTGCATATACAAATGATTTTTAAAACTTCATATTCTTTGAAGAGTAGCAGGAGTCTAGAAACTACAGCATGTGTGATGTTTCATGAACATAGAAGAAATTAATGATTATTTCTTGAAGCAGTGAAGACACAGGGACTGTGTGTCATTAAATATTTTGAGAGCTGTCATATATAAACAGGAGTAGATTTGGTAGAAGAAGATGTTCTGTGTCTACAGAAGACAAAATTGGACTCAGGGAAGATCAGGGGAAAAAGAGTATAAGGATGGAGCATGTTGTCTGTCTAGTCATAACAACAGTGCCTTCTTTCCTAGTTGTCTTTTGCTTTGAGATATTGGACTATTGCTTGGGGGAAAATGGACATTTCCTTTCCCTGACTAAGATAGTTTACGCTTTATGACCTAAAGGGAGGATTAGACACATTTCTTCCAGGCTCCCAGTATCTACAGGTGTTGTGAGCAACTGCCACCAAGACTCCTTTTCCCCCCTGCCCCTGCTTTCCTGTTAAGGCTTACCGTAGTAGAACCAGCTTTCTTCAGCTCATGTGGCATTGCTGTGCTCTGCAGTTTCCAAAATCCTATTATATGCATCCTTCAATTTAAACATCTCCAATTTCTTCAGCCTTCCTCACATATTATAGCAGTGACTCTTGATGTAATACTCCAAGGCAAGCAGTTGAATGGTGCTGTTGCATTCTGGGTAGCAGAATTTGGAATTGCATCACACTCTTGACCCGTATTTGGCTGACTCGTAACTGAAATGCCATTCTTCGCTGGCTTAGCTGTTAAGCCCTAAATACCCATCCTGTACTCATATAATTGGGAGTTTGAGGTTTCACATATGAAACCATGCATTTATTTCTCTCTGTTTCTGCCAACTCATAATCCTAGGACTTTGCACATTATCCAGTGAATAGATTAGGAGTTTTTTGACCAGATGATCTCTTAGTTTCAGGGCGGTTCCAGTTCAAGTGGGCCATGAGCCTCAAAGTAGTATACTTATTCCCTCTCTTGTCATCCTCAAGTTTGATAAGTTCTACAATAGGATAAATATGGCTTGCCACCTGTTTTTGTACAGCTTGACCTAAGAATGAGTATGACATTTTAAAATGTTTTAAAGAAAAAGATGTAATGGAAACTGTATGTTAGCCACAGATGGTATTAATAATAATGAAAACCTGTGCCTGCCTGCCTTCTTCCTTCCCTTCCTTCTTCCGTTTCTTCCTTTTACCATCATTCATAAAGATTTCTGGGGCCCTTACTCTGGGCCAGCCACCATGACCCTGGCCCTTATGGAAATTATAAAATATTGGTGGAAGCATGAAAAGCTATAAAATAAGGCTAATTCTGTGGTCAATAATCAAAAGAGAGACTGGCCATAGGTAAATTAGACAGAAAGACCTTTCTCAGAGGAATTAGTTGAGACTTAATAAGGTCAAGATGAGGAAGAGTGCTTCCTGCACAGGGAACAATAAGAGTGAGGTCCTGCCCAGTCTTCAAAGACCTGGACCAGGCTTAGCATTTCAGGTACTGTGCTGGACACTTTGTGTGCATGATGTTATTTAATCATCACAACCCTTCTATGACTGAGAGAGACAGGACTAATTATTTTTGTATTTTAGATAAAATTTGGAAGAATCAAGACTTTAATTGCCAAGATCACAGAGCTTGGAAATCAATGTGGATTTCTGATTCCAAAGCCAGCACTCTGTCTGACTGTTATTTCTTTCCAGTTAAAGGATTAATCTCTAATAAATTATTTCCCTCTATCCAAAATTCAGAGATTGTTAAAATTCCACCTGTTAGATTGCCTTTCACTGAGTATGCATGCATGGATTTTCTTTAAGCATGTTGTATACGGAAGGCAATTTCTTGGATACATTCTTCATTGCATATTTATCAACAGGACTTGGTTTTGCTTTCTACTCCCTTTCCCTGGGGACATCTGAGAGTGCATGGAGTAAGGTGTGTTTGGTTTTCATAACCAAGGATGGATATCTGATAGAGGCTAGGGAGGCTAAATATCCAAAAAGCAGAGGACAGCCCACAACCAAGAATCATCCAGTCCAAAGCATTAATATTGTTAAGGCTGAGAAACTTTGTTCTGTCTGGACATTGGTTTAAAACTCTAAATACAAACTTTTCTTTTCACTTTTTAAAAATTTTGTTCTTTTTAGATACCGATGACAATAGAGTATATTTTGACATGTATTTATACACACATGGAATATAACTTATTCTAATTAGGATCCCATTCTTGTGTTGTACATGATGTGGAATTTTGCTGATCTTATATTCATATATGAACATAGAAAAGTTATGTCTGATTCATTCTACTGTCTTTCCTGCTGAATATAATCTATTAAAAAAGGCTTTCTGACACCAGGCATAGCCTACATGTTGGTGGCTGCTTTTTCTTTCTATGTTGTATTTCATTCCAGCTGAGGTGGGATTACAATACTTGGTACAAACTTGTTTCAGTATGTTCAAAGTAAATGTTTCATGTAACAAGTTAAAAAAAAAAAAGCTTTCTGAAAATTTTTATACCATATTACTGTTCACCTAAAAGTGATGAGAAGACCTTACCTCTCCCTTTCTCTATGGACAAGTGGAGACAATTCTTTCTCCCAGGTGCATGGTCCAGGGCAAAGTCTATATGATTTGGGGCTCTAGTTGAGCTAGGAGTGGGAGGAAAGGTAGAAATGCTTTTGCAAGGAAAGCTGCCAAGGTAGGAGGAAAGCAAGGATTCCAGCTGGATGGTAGCGGAGTTTCAGCCCTGGAAGAGTGTTGGAGACCCCGTGGGGAGTCCTACATGGTGGAAAGAGCTTATCACACTTACAAATTATTCCCAAATCAGTCTTAAAAATATAGAAATGCCTGTATTAATCTATACTTTCTTCCCTATCCTTTTTGCACTTGACATGCAAGTGTTAAAATTCATTTCATTGAAAATTCTTTGGGTTTGATCTTCCTTTAACTTTTGTATTTAACTCAGATATTTAACTGCAGAAGTGGAGTGAAAGCTAAAACCTGGTGTTTGTTGTGCAGCGTGTGTCACTTAGATTTAAAAATAACTTTTGTATGTCTAAAACCAGGATTAAATTTTAATTCACAAACCCTAGTGTGCATTTGTGAGGGCCTTGGTTTGTTACCTTGTGGACAGCAGGTCCACATTACAAAAGGCCCAGACACACACAGTGGCATAATAACTAGCCTTGTGGTGTTTGGAAGGCAGAGCGACCAGCTCCCGGGGAAGGCTCCTGTGGATGTGGGTAAGGTTATTGTCCCAACAGCAGAAAATTCACATGGTACCTGGCAACCAACTGTGGTTGGGAAAAAAAAAAAAAAAAAACAACTTTTATTTCATTTGCTACTGACCGCCCTGATTCCTAGACAAAAATATATACTTTTTAAAAAAGAACCCCTGAACTGACTTTTCTAGAAAAGCAAAACCTTTTTGAGATAATTTACAAAATATAATCACAATTATGCTGTAAGTAAAAAGCCTTCTGAATATACAGGAAAAAAAGGAGGAGGTTCACAGTTGTTCAACATTTATAAGTAATTCAAAGTTAACATGTTTCGATATTTTACTTTAATAGAAAAGATCAATAAGTACCAGAAACCAGTCAGCATGATGCACTTTACATTTTGGCTTCCTACAGAATGCCTAGTGTTTTAAAATTTTTTCCTAGTTAAAAATTTTCAAATCAGCAATTCCATAATAGATGGATTTTAATTAAAGCTGAAGACTTTAAAAAAATAGGTTTCTCAGTTGTGTTCAGATTTCCAAATGTATCTCAGTGATAATCCATTTCTTTCTCAGAAACCATAAACTGAATAATTCAATTATTAATGCAAAAAAAGGTGACATTAGTAAATCTTACCTAAGCATGTCCAATATTTAAAAAATTTTATAGACTACCACTTCAGATGAGAGGGAACTATTTCAGAAACAATAAAATTTATTTTGATTCCTGTCTTCATAGGAAAGATTTTTTACAGTGTGGAGAAAAATATTTAACAATAGTCAAATGAAAATGGATAATTTAACCTCATATTGTTCCAGTATCAAATTTGTTAATTATGTTAAAACCATACCTTTTCTTAAGATTTAAAAGCCATTAATCAGTAATGGTAATTACAATAGCTAGAATTTGTTGAGTCCTTACTATTCCAAATTTTTTACGTGTGAATATGTAGACCTTTTCAGTGTTGCTCACTGAAAGTCAACTTCCACTAATTCTTTCCTTTTGTTTATAACCAACATATGCTGTCTCTACTTTCATAATCACCTTCATTTATTGTCCCTACCCCCTGGCCACCATGAGGACCATTGCTTTGCATCTGAAATCTTTTGCTTGGTCTCTCTCTTTTTACATATACTTTAGGTTCTAATTGAATCTCCCTCTGGTTTCCACCAAAGTAATAGTTTTAATACCAAAATTTCTTATGAAACAATTGGGCCTACACTGTCTCCTTCAATCTGTGCAGCAACCACCTTCTCTGTTATTATTCACCTCTTCCTATTGGTTCCCAGTGACCTTATTGTTAAATCCTATGACCTTTTCTCACCTTTCATTGCCCTTGATTCTTCCATAATTTCAATTTTTTTTGCCACCCTTCCATGTTTAAATTATTCTCTTCCTTAATTTCACCCAGAATTCTTGTCTTCTCTGACTTTTTAAAAAATGTCTGTCGTCTCATCCTGTACACATAAAAATCATCAACATTCCTTCTTTGTCTTCATCAGAACAGTCTATATCAGGTTCCTCCATCTGAATTGCCTACTTTTGTGGTCTAATGGGACCATCCTTTTCCCATGTCTCCACTGGCTGGACAGCCCTGGTATGGTATTCAATGCTGCCTTTTCCCTCATGCCTAAAACCCCATCTGCTCCTTTTCATTCATCCTTCCCCCTGTTCTTTGCCACTATGCTGGTAAAGCCTCATAGCACATCATGCCTGAATTATTGCAACTGCCTCCTAAGTGGTCTTTACCTCCAGTCATACTCTCCTCCTCAGTTCACCCAGTTTATCACCACTACACTACTTGTCAGAAATCACTGCTCTGAATATTTCCTCCTGTACCCCCGGTCAGCCTTTCCATGATGCTCCATTACCTGCCCAATAAAGTCCACACTCCCTGAAGCTTCACAGAGAGCTCTCAGTTTATCGCTCCCACTTCATCTTCCTCTCCTGTGTACTCACTGGTTTATTTGCTGTTCATTGTTCAAGCCTATATCTCTCCACCTCTGTGGCTTTCTGCTTATGCCATGTGAGATGTGTCTTTGCTCAAGTCTTAGGCCACTGAGTTTTCAAGATAAACTCAACCTCTGTGTTAATTATTGGGACACCTCTCCAATTATACGTGGCGTGGAAGGTTCTCGCGCTGCACTGATCGTTTTGTACCACTTCTGTGTGTTTGATCACCAGCTATTTTGCAATGTACATGTTTTTCTCATACTATTTCCCCAACCAGAGGGTAAACAACTTTGCCCCTGTTGGAAGCTCTCCAGTTGCTCCCCACAGAGTTCAGAATACAAGCTTGATGGAATCTCTGAGCTCTGCTCCCACAGCTCTTCTCTCATGCCTTCCACATGCCTCTTCATATACCAAAGGCCCAGTGCCCTCTGTCCCCCTGGGGTTCCCTCAACACCCTGTGTGCTTCCACACCTGTTCACCTTTGCTCATCCCATTTTATCTGCCCAGGATGCCTTACTTCACTGATTTTACACCCCAGGCGTGCCTTGTCTTTCTAGGCTCCCCTCAGGTGCCACCAGCTTTCAGGATGACTACCCCTTTCCTTTCCTAGGACCATGTGTCCTATGGACTGGGACACCCTCATCTCTTTTACCTCTATTCCTAACACCTAGCCAGTGGCTGCTGGTGTGATGAAATGAACAAGGCAGATGTGATATGGGGAAGGCCAGCTGGTTACACAGGTAACCACAAGGTGGCATTTATCTATGTGAATTTATCATGACATGGGCTCTGACTTTCAGCCTGAAGGTCTGGGAACTTGGCCTAACAAATTGAGAGTGGATCCATCTCACAAAGGTAGAGCTTTGGGGTTTTTTTAATTGATTTTTTTAAACTAAATGACAGCAGAATGCATTATAATTCTTATTACACATACACAGCACAATTTTTCATGTCTCTGGTTATATATAAAATATATTCACACCAATTCGTGTCTTCATATATGTGCTTTGGATAATGATGTCCATCACATTCCACCATCCTTTCTAACCCCCTGCCCCACTCCCTTCCCTTCGTATCCCTCTGCCCTATCTAGTGTTTTCCTATTCCTCCCATGCTACCCCTCCTACCCCACTATGAGTCAGTCACCTTATATCAGAGAAAACATTCAGCATTTGATTTGGGGGGATTGGCAAACTTCATTTAGCATTATCTTCTCAGATGCCATCCATTTACCTGCAAATGCCGTGATTTTATTTTCTTTTATGGCTGAGTAATATTCCATTGTGTATATGTACCACATTTTTTTTTATCCATTCATCTATTGAAGGGCATCTAGATTGGTTCCACAGTTTAGCTATTGTGAATTGTGCTGCTATAAGCATTGATGTGGCTGTGTTCCTGTACTATGCTGTTTTTAAGTCCACAAAGGTAGAACATTATTAACCAAGCTCATAGAGGCTCCTGCCTAAACCATGAGCCCATATACTGATTAGTACTGAGCAGGGTGACTGGACTGATGCTGACATTGGCCTGACCTGGGCCTTATCTGCCTTTTTACATGGCACACGGACCATCCGTTCTCTCATGATGTATTTGCAGCCAATCAATTTTATTTCACTATGGCTAATCACAGGAGTTGCATATGGATTTTGTCAACTCACTTCTTAGAGAATAAAGAACCTCATTTCCATATTTGGAGGAGAGATAGGAGCACTTTCCTGTCACTTTTTTAAAAATATTTTTTTAGTTGTTGATGGAACTTTAATGTATTTATTTATGTGTGGTGCTGAGAATCGAACCCAGTGCCTCATACATGCTAGGCAAGTGCTCTTACACAGAGCTATAACTCCAGCCCCTCTTGTCACTTTTATATACTGATTATGATACTTGATAAGTCTTTAGCAACTGTTTTTTGTGACATGACCAAGCAGTTACTGAATGATTAAACGAATGCAGACCATGCTGCTAGATATAAGATTGCTTTGCTTGAAAATCTAACTGTAGCAAAGTAGCATATACACATGTTCCTCTGTGACCTCCTTACTGGAAAACCATTTTTCTCTGTATAATCGCTTTCATATTCTGACACATTTCTAACCCTTTTTCTTCTCATTCTTCTCAGCCATCATGTTAGGATCTGCCCCCGTGTGTTGGACCCTAGCTAGCACATTACAGACAGCATAGTCCACTGCTCGCCCACTTGCCTTGTCTGCTCTGCCCCAACACCTCTTCCCCATTGTTCCTTCCTCCAAAGGGAGTTTTCTTTCTCCTGCTTTCTAAACCACGGTGTGCCTTGGTTCAGCTCTGAGGTAAGTGACCACCGCAGATTCTGCCACTGTCTTTGAAGCCACCTCTCATGCTTGCCCATCCCTGGCTGTAGCCACATGTATCCCAGCATGTTAAAAAAGGGACAGTTCTAAGAAAAGTAAAAATACCAGAATCCCTCATTCATACAGTGTTGAAATCTGTTCAGAAAGGAAAAATCAGTCTTTCCTAACAATGAGCTAAACCGGCTGTTGGTCATGGATCACATAGACAGAGTTAGATTCTTTTTCTTTTCTTTACTGGTGGTTGCTTGTGCAGTCATGCCTGGACATATAGACTATAGTTACAGAATCCCAAAATTCAATGCCCCTGTTTGTTTGTTTGTTTGTTTGTTTTACTTTGTAACCAAAAAACACCCTTCTGCTCATTTACTAATGTTAGAACATTCTGATTCTAACATCCAACTTAGCATGAGTTTGTCACTATTTTAAATTATTAGGAAATTATATTTTAAGTCTAAGAACTATACCTTTAGACAAAATTAGTGTATCCTAGGGATATTTCTGTTATATGATACCTTTTTCTCTCTGCCCATTTCTCCCTGAGTAAAGTTTTTCATATAAATACATTGTGTTTCTCATCCGTACCTCCAAGTTGTTCCTTAAGAAAACTTAGAAACTTAACTAAAATGATGAAATAATTGTGCCTGCCCAAAATGTAGGCACCTACTGAAGTGTATAGCAGTCTGTACAGTTTTTATATACCATAAACATAATCTTTGAACAACCCTCTGAAGGGTTTAATCCTCAAACAGCCCTTCTCATTTTGCAGATGAGGATGTTGAGGTTCAACATTCTGGAGCCTTCTGGAACACAGCAGGACCTGAAGCCTGGTCTGCCTGGCTTCCTTGTTCATGCTCTTTCCTCTGTGAGACTTGTGTCTCCTAGGTGACATGGCTGTTTGTGGAGGTTTTACCACAATCTCTTCCCACCACAACAATGCACAGTGAATATTGGCTTTCTTATATTTTGTCCTTTCCATTCTGTCATTTTTCCATCTGTGCAAGAAAAAAAAATATTTCAGGAAATTAAAAGTGTGTCTTCATCAGCGTGTGTCAGTCATGTGCTGTCACATATGAAGTAGATGTCATGTGACTTTAAAAATTGTATAATGGCACAGTCAGAAGTATATCTTTGGAAATAGATAACAGTATGTTTTATAAATGTAGGTTTGCTATATCTTTTATGTGTTTTCATAGCTGACGAAGAGTACGAAGATGGCATTGAAAGGACATGTGACACTCTTCTTATGTGCATTGTCACTGTGCTGAACCAGGGCCTCAGAAACGGTGGTGGCGTGGGGGATGTGCTCAGAAAGCCGTCCAAAGATGTAAGTCAGAGGAGAAGTATTTTTTTCAAGAAGCATATAATTATTTTTTGCAACCTTTCTTAATAGCATTTATAATATGATTTTGCTTTCAGAGTACTATATTGTTTGACAGTGGCCAATAACATCTGCTAATTGTGTACTAGGATTACACAGAAATAGCTGTAGCACTAACAATCTATGTATGCTAGTAGGGTTATGAAATGCATCCACGTCTGACCTCTGTATTCTGTTACCACAACAGAACCATGACTGCAGACTTCATCTAGGGGTTGATTGCTACATAAATCACAGCAAGGAGGCCGCCTCTTGTCTATCAGGTTTCTCAGATATAAAGATTTACTCTTTGCTTCTGCCTGGGAAGAGCTTTCATTATTTATCCATGATGAATATAAACTTTGAACAAATTCTAATAGGATTTCATATATTAAAATGGCAAGGAAGGAAAAAATTTTAATAATTATAAAATCTTGAGTGCCTGGCTAAGAACTTTAAAGTCTTAATTCTGCAGCTGGCCAATTGTATAATGTCAAGTCATTTAAACTTATAAACTCAGGTCCGTCAGTGGTTAAACTGAATTACATGATCTCTAATGTATATATTTTTAAAAAAGTTTTTTTAGCTGTAGTTGAACACAATACCTTTATTTTATCTATGTATTTTTTATGTGGTGCTGAAGATCGAACCCAGCACCTCGCATGTGCTAGGCGAGCGCTCTACCGCTGAGCCACAACCCCAGCCCCCTCTAATGTATATTTTGATACTGTTCACCAGGTAGAAATAAGCGTGGACTCTATATTCTTGACCTCTTAACACTGAGGACAAACCTATTCCAGAAATTGACAAACACTTAGATCCTTTCAGCTCCCTAATTGCTGACTTTTGGAATTAGTATTTAACTACATTTTGTGTAGTGTCTGGAATGTGGCCCACTGTGCCAAAATGCATTTAGTGGAATCCCGAAATAAAGTAGTTTCTAAAGAAAGGTGCATCCGCTCCACTGGGCAGAAAAATATGCCGTCCTACAGAAGTGGAAGGGTTTGAGAATAGGCTAGGCAGTTTATCTTAAAATACTTAAAAGAAGATAGATAGAAAGTGGGGGTTATTTTTACAACTGTGGATATTATTTGCTTTTATTGAACATATGTTTGTGCTAGGCAGTTTGCTAAATCAGATCAACATAACTTGAAATTATGTATAATATTTTATATTTTTTCTTAAAATTGTATTTCAGGAACCCTTGTTTGCTGCCCGAGTGGTTTATGACCTTCTTTTCTTTTTCATTGTCATCATTATTGTTCTTAACTTGATTTTTGGAGTTATCATTGATACCTTTGCTGATCTCAGAAGTGAAAAACAGAAGAAAGAAGAAATTTTGAAAACAACCTGTTTCATCTGTGGTAAGTGTTCTCCATATGCTAAAAGAATAGATGAATAAACTGTTTAGCAGGAGAGAGGGGCTAGAATAATTTTTTTTATTTGTCATACTTTTGGAAAATCTACTTGAAAATGAAGGCTAGATAAAATTCAGATTATGTAACAGAAAAGTACACTGGAATTCTCTGCTTCCATAAATAGAAGAATTGCATCTCAAAGCTATTCTGTCATTATTTCTGCAATTTATATGATTCTCTGATTTTAGAATGTGATGCAAAAATGTCAAAAGGTTTCCCCAACTGGCTTTTATCACAAAAATGTATTAATTACACAACAGAATGATTTGGGGCTTTGGGGGAGGGGTTAAATTATGAATTCAAAGATACTTTTTCCAGAAGCTTGAACTTCTACTCTCTAACATCACTGTTTTAGATTCTCATCTTTAAAACTGGGGGGTGCTTTCTCCTAGTTTTAAAGCATCCTGGCATACCCACCACTCTCCTCCCTGCCGCATCATCGTCTCTCTCAGGACCCCATCCTTCCCTCTGTTGGCATCCTTCTCTTGGACTCAGCTCTCTTGTATTTATTATTCATACCACATACTAAAAAACTAAGAGCACCAAATTAGACTGGCACGAAGAGAACCAGGAGTATGTGACATCTCCAAAGCCCTTTCTGACTTTAGCTGTCCCTGCAGCTGGTCTCCTGCACTGTAGAATCCCTCTCCCTCTTTGGATGACCACCAACACTAGGCTGACTTCACCCTCTGATTTTCCATGTTGGGCCGAAGATTCTTTGGCTAAAAGTCACCAGATAAGCATAAGGGCTTTACTCCACTGTAACCATTTATAGCTTAGATTGGGCCTCAGTAAACCCCATTTCCTCCCCAGTTCATCTTTTGTGGATTGTTTTGTTTCCTCCCATGGCTCTTCCAAACCTTTCCAGAGATGTACCAGAGAATAATGTGCAGTAAAGTGCTGCATGCCAGGGAAACAATTAAAATTGACACATACCCTGTCTCAGGGTGTTCACGATCTGTTGTGGGATACAAACATACTAAACAGCAGTGCTGTCATTTGTAATGAGAGAAATATTAAAGACGTTCCGGCTGAGCTGCAAGGACCCAAAGGACGGTTACCTCTTCAGGTTGGAGTAAGAAGCAATGGAAAAGAATCAGGAAAACCTCTTAGGAGAGCTAATGGCAGAGCCAATGGCTTAAGATGGAAGAGCATTAGACAGCTGGAGATGGGTGGAAGCAGAATGGCCAGGAGATACAAAGGCTCAGAGGAAAGAACAGCACCAGGAAGAGCTTCATTTACTCAAGAAAATCTCAGTGTTATTGCGTGTGAAGTTCAGAGCAAGGGATGCCAAGAGGACAGGTTAGCCTTTTCGGTTAGGCAGCATGGACTTTATCCTACAGACTTAAGATCATGAACCATTAAAGAATCGTAAATAAAAGAGTTAAGGTTCTAATTTTTGTTTTAGAGCAGTGTGGCAGCTTTGGGAGGCCCTTTATCAGGAAATAGTCCTGCAAGCAGAGTAACCAGGTAGGAGGATGAGGCCACAATTCAAGCAACAGAAAGGTAATATAAACCTGATTCAATGAGTAGTGGAGCTGTTAAGGGTAGAAGGCAAGAAATATTTAGAGGACAGAATTTTTAAACCTTGGTGGCTAGGAATACCGATGGCAGATACCTTAGGTACTTGGGTGGAGAATAATAACCAACAGGTGATTGTGTTTAAGAATAGATGAATAAAATCCCTTTAGGTAGGAATATTCTGAGTTTAACTTTAGAAACAATTAAATTGCATTGTGCATTGAAAACCACAGTGTTGTACATCGAGTGTAGGCCAGTGTATGAGTATGAGTCTCAGAGAGTGGGTCTGCACTAGAGACCAGTCAACTGGGGAATCCTCAACCTGTGTGGGATAAAATCAGGAGTGTGGGGAAGAGCTTCTGAGTGAGAAAAAACACAGCTGGGATACATGTGGAAAGCACCAGCCTTGAAGAGTTAGGAGAGAAACAGATTCACATACCAAAAAACTAACAGCACCAAATTAGACTGGCACGAAGAGAACCAGGAGTATGTGGCATCTCCAGAGTGAGGGGAGAAAGCCTCATGAGACAGGAATGAATGCTCAACCCTGCCAGAGCAGAGAAGGCCAGTAGTATGAAGTGAAAGAGCCTCTGGACTTCTCACTCAGAGTCTCTGGTACTTTAGTTAGAGCAGATTATAATGCTGAGCAAGGATTTGCTAGAAGGAAATTAAGACAGGAATTGGAGTCTTCTGTTTTGGTATCTGGATTAGAAGGGGGAGAGCAAGGTTGAGAGGTAGCCAAGGAAGATGTCCTGCAGTCATTCAGAAGCTTGGAAAGAATAGGCTGAGAGGCTGTCAAGGTCCCACCTTCAACCTTGGAACCTCTCTTTTAGCATCATCAAGAACATCATCATGGGAAATCTCAAGACTGTTTATTGAATACTCATTACACAATGGATATTCAACTTAGATTTTTTTCTTTGAATTTTGTTTTTGAAAAACAAAGTATATTCTGCATATGACCACCCATTTACACACATGGAAACAATTCAGATCCTATCAATGTCTGGCTAGTAATCAGTAGAGCCAGGATTTAAACTCAAAAGTCCACTAAGCTACATGATTCTCTTTAAATGGCAGCATCAGGTCATGGTCTAACTCAAGGACAACCAAGCCTGGGAACAGATCCAAGTTGAGGAGTGTAGTGATATGGGGCTGAGCCATTGTAGGGAAGGATGAGTTCCAGAGGGGAGAAAAGATGCATTCTTTGGAAACTTCTGGTGTGCCTCATGGTCTGCCTTTCACTGCCTCCTCTAAGTCCTTTTCTTCATGATCCTAACCGTCATGTTGGTGCACTACCTCTGAAAAAGGCTGTGTTTGAAGAGAGGGTCACTAAGATGGGAGCCTCATTCTAAGACATGATCCTGTGTCCCATGGCTTTTCATGGTTATTTTAAAAACCTATGACCTAGAAATATCTTAAAACATCACAGTAACCCTCATTGCCAAACTTAAGTCTTCTTTTCAAACTCACTATTAATTTCCTGTTGACCTTTTTTTCTACTTCTGATTGTTCATTCTTTGGTTTTACCCCAGACTCCTAAGAAAGAAGTTTTGATTTCTTCTCCCAAACCCCTAGAAAAGAGATTTAATTTTGTCATTGACTTCTTGTCTTTCCTCTCTGCCATCCTCTTTAACCTCCCTTTTGTACAGATTATTGCCAAATAGGCCTCCTCAGCTCCAAACCCTCCCTATGTTTTCCCATCTATTTTCATTTGTTTATTGGACACATAGACGCATCTTCCCGGTAGCCAGACGTTGTTCCATGTCTAAAACCAATACGTCATGTCTGACGCTCTGACCCAGCTCCTAATCCTGACTTACATGCTGCACTTCATGATGTCCTCCTCCCCTACCTCCAGTTGTCTGGCTGGGAATGTCACCGTTGTTTTTTAGCATCTCCTTCTTCCTCTTCCAGATACACCAGCTACCTTGGGCTAATGAACTTCCACAGTCACACATCTTCACATATTCCCACAGCCACACCTTGGATTTTCAGGCTCATCTTGACTCATGCTCCAAAACGGTCTGCTCAGTGCTGCCAGACTAATTTTTCCACTTTAAATTCATCATTTTCTTACTCAAAGAGCCATCAGTAACAGTCTATAACTCTAAAACTCTAATTTTCCTGGCATCTAAGAAACCTCACGATTTGGCCCCTTCTTTTTTTTCCCCCCCTACCTGTTTATCTACATTTCTTCCATTTATATCCCTGTTCCAGTCCAGCTGGTTATTCATGTTTAACTTCCTGAACTCCCTCTGTGATCTCAGTTGTGGGGCACATTCATTTTAAAATTCCAAACTCCTGAGCTGTTGAGTTCCTGCTCGCCACTCTCTGAGGCCCAGCTCTAAGGTCATTATGCCATGAATCCATCTCTGATCTCACCAACCAGAGCAAATATGTCTGCCCTTAAATTCCTCACATCACACTCAGCTCTACATTGCTGTACATGTCATTGCTGTCTTAGCACCTTTGCTGGGTGCTGTGTACCATGTATGCTAGAAAACACATGAACCTCATAATCAAATAGACATAGCTCTACAGTGGTTCCACATCTGGCTGTGTGATCTTGGCCAAGTTTCTTACCACTCTGAGCCAGCTATGTCATATGCCAGGTATTCAGGGATGGAGGGTGATATGTCAAGAGGTGCAAGGATATGTTGGATCAACATATTCTAAAGTCTCTTTTCTGGAAGTTTTATGTTTATTCAAGTCTGAGGGGCCATTTAGGTAATTTAACCTGAGAATAAATGTAAATAGTGTTTTTATATTAGAACAAATATTATAAAGTATATCAAACTTTGTGTGCCCATTTAAATAAAATGGAAACTTTAAAAAAACAAGTTTGTCAATTGGTCCTGGGCATTTTTAGGAATTTAAGCAGTAGAAATGTGGAGAGTATCATGATAATGGATTTCTAGACATGCACTCGTTGCTGGACTCTCTATACCTGCAAGATATAGTGCATATCATATCTTAATTATAAGGTTTATTAAGATATACATATCTTAATTACAATTTAATTACAAGAAACATTTAAATAGCCAGGATATTTGGGAGTTATTTTAGTAAGTTGTAAAATAGTTGCAATTAACCCAGAATTGTGTTTTGGTAGGATGGGATTATCTGTGATTAAAAAAAAGTTATAAAATCAAATAAGAGGAGAAAACCTCCATAGCAAGAGAGACTGGCTCCAGGTGTTTTCAAGACACACCCACAGTGGTGGGGAGGATGTGGATTCTGTGACAGGTGGTGGCAGCAGCTAGGCTTTCCCAGCCTTGAAGGCTATGTCCAAACATTTGAGAGTTAAACATGACTCAGAAAATAATTGCTGGTGATTCTGAAAGTGGCCATGACTGGGTGATGGTTAGCAGAGGACAGAACTCAAGCAGTAATCGTAGAAACAAAGTAGCTCCTGTATCCAA